ATCCCACTACAGCTTTTTATGTACTTTGCGGCCGAGGTTTGGTCGTTAAAAGTAGGTGTTGCGGCAAAATGAGGTGTTTTTGACAATACGTCAATTCTTTCAGTTGATGGGAGTAAGTGGAACAACATGGCAAGCAATGTTGAAATTAGACACAGTTCTAGTTAAAAAGAAGGTAAATCAACCAATGAAATAGTTAAGGTCTGTTGATTGAAGTGAATAGAACATGTAGTGCATATGTTTTCCATCGACTAGAAATGACGGTTGAAGTAGTTTGGAGAAGAGTTAGCAGCAGTACCGAAAAACACTACTATGCCATGAAGTCTTTGAATCTAAGTCTGAACTACAGAGACTGCTTAGCTGGAGTCCTTAGAATGTTGGAGGCTTTTGATGGCTGAAATCCATTCAAAATGGTGTAGATGTATTTACTTCTTATAACCTTTAAGATCCCGAAATGCCTTACTAGTCTTCATTTAACTGTTCTTCTGTTGCCTCCCTATTTGTCCATCTCAGTATTATTCTACTTCTCTACCCCTATTTCATATGCATTTTTTAATTGTGGCAAATCGAATTGCTTCACGTTTCCACAAAGTGTCAGGTTTTTTCATTGGTAAAATGTAGCGGTAAAAGCTCAGTAAAAGTGGACTACTCTGCATTGAACCGTACTATAATCCATACTGTAAATTTTACACTTAATCAAATATCTTGTTGAAATCACAGGCGGCACAAAGTGGAAAATGCCAAGCAAGCATCTTGTCATCTATATTTACATGTTGATGCCACTGCCTATAGACAATAAAGATCCCACAGCCGGCTAATTCCGAAGAAGGAGATATCAGGAGATTCTTACGGGACTTCGATATCGTCTCCGAGTTCTTGGGCATCGAGAATCCGACGGCAAATGCGGTCATACTGAGGACCCTGCTGCGAAGCCGAGTAAAGGCGGGGTATAGCGTTGTGGAGAGGTCAAGCAAGAAAGAGACCTGGAGTGTACTGGTTGAACGACTCGTGGTGGAATTCGATAGCCCGACGGATAAGCAGCTGGCGATGCATCAGTTCGTGCCGCAAAGCTGGAACCGGATGGAGACCCAGTATTGTTTGCGGTGAAGATAACGAATCTACTACGTCGCACACCCTCCACATTGGATGAAGAGTCACAGTCACAGTTATTGAATCCCCAGTTATTCGAGACTATTCCAGACCACATTTCTCAGCAGCTACAACTAGTTAACACTGCACAACCCATGGAAATTAGTGAGTTGGCGAAGGTGGCCAGACAGCTGTTGAGTACAACGATAGCCGCAACAGACCCACCGAAAGTGAACGAATGGGAAAGTTGAAGATTTGCAGGGTGGATTAATGGCACCACGAATGAGTCCCAGAAAAGAGCAATGATTTGAATGTGGCAAATCAAGACACTGGAGAAGGTACTACCCAGAAAGGAGGAGAAGAAAAATTCCAGGCAGCGTAATGTGTTCTTTCTCCCCTATAAGACTAGAAGTCGTGCGGGCTATCGAGAGGGGGGTCATGCATTTTTATTTCTGAGTGGATTGCAGACAAGCAGAATGTTTAATAGATAGAGGGGTGCAAGTCTCACTAATACATAGGAATCTATGTCAGACCGTCCAACAGTGTTCACTGACATTCCCAACGTAAGGTAGACATGTGTTATAGATCGCCGGCATGTCAAACTGTAGCGTTTTTATTGGTGATTGCAGAGTAACGTTCCGAGTTACCACGAACAATACTTGGCGCTAACTTGCTGCGGCAGGTTGATGCGATAATTAACACGAGGAAGAGGGTGGTGATTACGAAGTACGGACTTATCAGCATGTATGAAACAAGCGAGATAGCAAGGGTTAAGGCGTTGAAAGCACGGAATATGACAACGTTAGCTGAAGAATACGGTCATCTGTTCACTGAAGATAGGGACCCCTACAGTTATTTTGATAAGGTGAGGCATGAAATGGCACCGTTCACAATGCTAAGAGTTCTATGTCATTTGGAAGGAGAAATTGAGCGACAAGTGAATGAGATTTTACAGGATGATATTATTGAAAAAAATTGAGAGTCCGTATAAGTCTGCAGTTATTTTAGTGAGGAAGGCAAATGGGAATTACCAATTCTGTGTCGATTTCGAATAGCTAAGCAGCATGACAGACCGTATTCCAAACCAACTGTAGTACAGACCTTGGATCATCTCCAAAGCGCGAATTTGTTTACGGTGCTCGACCTGCAGTTAGGATACTGGCAGATACGAATAAAAAAGAGCGACAGAGATAAGACGGCGTTCGTCGTGGGACAGAAAGAGTACCGGTTTAAACGCATGCCATTTGGAATAGCAGGTGCATCCTCAGACGACTGATGACGTTATTATTTAGAAACTTGAAGAATGTGGAGGTTTAAAGTGACGATCTTATCATCTACCGTCAAAATGAAGGCGAATGTGTAAACCATGTTGAAGCCATGTTAAAACGCTATGAAGGGCTTTTAGACTGCACATCAACAAAACAAAATCACAGATAATCAAACGGAGTGTTATACGGTTGGCTCATAAAGTGGCCAATGGTGAGATAAAGCCGCTACTGGAGAAAATTGTCACGATAAAGATCATTACGGCCCCGAATTCCAAGAGAAAACTAAGGTAGTTCCTGGGGAGAGCAGCGTTTTACAGTCTATTTGAGTAGAACTTTAACAAGATAGCAGCCCTCCAGTACACGCTATCAGGTGAGCCGAAGTCTGTTTTGTTGGAAGATTCTCAGAAAATATTCGACAGCATTAAACCGCTTTAGACCATCAGAAAATGACTCTAAAACTACCTGTAACCAGGAAACAGTTCACGATGTGCACAGATACGAATGACTATGACTTAGGCATAGTACTTAGACAGAGTGAATGAACTGTCAAATACGCCAGTCGTGTTTTAGCACAAACAAAGCAGAAGTATTCAGTGACAGAGAAAGAATGTTTAGCAATAGTATGGGCAGTAGACAGATGGAGACCTTATTTACTCGGCCAACGGTCCCACATCGAAACTAATCACAAGCCGCCACAGTTTCTGGGGACAGCGAGAGAGAGAGAGAGAAACTGTCGCAGTTGATGTTGCGCCTGCAGGAATATAACTTCGCGATCTCACAAGTCCCTGGAGAAGAAAGTTTTTTGTCAGACTTTTTATCTAAACCAAAAAACGAAGATGAGTTACCGGAGGTTGTCTACGGAGTATATGAATTAAAACGAGACCTATTAGGACTTGCCCACGGTCAGAAACTAGACCCTACCCTGAATACAATAATGCAGGTGATACGGAATAAAACTGAATCAACCTACGGCAAGTAATGATCTGGCTGTGCTACTCAGATAGAAGAATATATTAAGAGTGAAAGCCTACGGAGCTTTAATTTGGTGAGAGAATGATGGAAGCTGGTTGGCGGTAACATGCCATGAGATGATACAAGAGTAGACATAACAGCCGAACTCTTGAGACAAAATACGTACCAGCCAGGTATGAGAGAAGATGTGGCAAAATATGTACTTGGATTTCCGCAGTGCCAGCTGATGAAAGTAGGTCGGTGCATACGACTGCCTCGGCAAGAGACTCCACTTACAGCAGTAGGTGACTTATGGTCCGTAGATGTGATAGGTCCATTATGGATAAGATTTTATTTTGATAAATCTTATCCATAATGGAGTTATACTCTGCCACAGTGCTAAAGTTTTATATCTATATCAATGTGATAGGCCCTTTTCATCAGATATCCAGTGGCAATCAGTTGGTCTTTGTGGTGATGGAACACCCTACATGATGGGTAGACACCGTCGCGATCCCTGATGAATGCGCGAGAACCGTGACTGATGCAGTAGTTCAACACATCGTTGAAGATCACGGTGTACCAAAGGGTCCCTGTTATAAAAATGAGGAATTCACATCCCGTTTGCAACAGCTGGGGATTAAAAAGATCCGAACAACACCATATCATTCACAAACGAATGACCTAACAGAGAGAAATAACCGTACACTGAGTCAGTGGTTGGCTTCGAAGGAAGGTAACTGGGAGACAGTGCTTTCATTGATTCTACTAGCACATCGTGCTTCCACCCAGGAAACAAAAAAGAAGTCACCATTTAATTTTATGTATGGGAGGAAACCACAACTACCAATACACAACACAACCTGCCTCCACCATCAGTGGTGGAGTATGATGAGGCTGCGAACGGAATGGAAAGAAGCAGTCAGGAATGTAAATTATACACAGAAGAAAGACGTCTTGAAATCAGAACAGGGAGAAAATATGCGATGTACAACCTTTGAGGTCGGCGATCAAATAAAGTATAGAGGAAGAAAGTATGCGGTTAGATGTGGGCCAGGATCACGGAAATTCCCTACCCCCAAATTGGGAAGAACCATACACTGTCACTGAGACACGTGGTCCCATTTATACCACCAAAAGAGGAAACAAGCAGAAACGAGTTGACACCAGCTGCAGAAATGAATTCAGTGGGGTAAGGAAGCCAGGACTAAATTACACCAGGAACGGGTAGAACCAAGAAGACCGGAACGGTGCCGTTCGAAACTATTTGATGGGGGACGAGTGTGGCGTGTTCTATTGATAAGATTTAACACTTATGTATAAAGAGACGTTCATCGGTATAAAAATATCAAATAGCGGAGAGATGGATTTGACATCAAATAGAGCAAATGAACCAACGTTGTGCCAAAACATGGGAGACACGAAAAGAAGACAAAGCAACACAATAAGAAGGCCAGAAGTAGCACAACATAGAAGATCTGTGCAAATAGTGGTTTTTAGATAAGGTTTACATAATTTCGCTGTATAGAGATACCGAATTCGAAACGAACATTCCGTTACCAAGTCTCTTTCCCTCTAGCGTTACAAATGTACGCCTAACTAGTAATTAATCCACATCTATGCACGCCATAACACAGGAAGATAAGGTGAACATTAAATAATCAAAGAACACGGATAACACCAGTAGTCATGATTAACATTGATTTTTTTCAAAAACTTCTTTATGAATATATCAAAGTACTACATATTTACTGATGATCACTTCTTGTGCAGTTTTGTTTTTTTATATACATCTTGGAAATACTTTAAACAGTTTAGTGTCCGATAAGTTGTACAGATTTCTTTTTGAATTAACCTGATATCATCCGATTGTATTTCATGATATGATAAAATATCACTAATAGTTTGATTATCAGATGAATTATTTTGACTAGTTTCTATATCATTTATTGACTGTAGGAAATAGTTTAAAAGCACATTGGTTGTCGATGTTAAATTGAGGGGACTATGAAAACGTCCATTGGTTAAATTTGATAGCTTTTTTAAGAAGGATACTGCAATCCTGTGACAAAAAGAAACAAAACAAAAAAAAAGGGATTTGTAAAAATGCGGTCTAAGGATAAGAAGAGATAGTTTTATATGTAGTAAAACAAATGGTGTATAATTTGACAAAGAGGTACGTGGTATGCAAATATTGATTGGTAGGGATTTGATTGTTTGGTTACAGGATTTCATCATGAGTTGACATTGGTTACAGAACCATTGAAAAACCTGGGAGTGCTCAACAGCTGTTTCGTCCTGGGTTCAAACGCCAATGGGTACGTAATGCCAAAAAGTCTGAAACTAGGATGAAACAGCTGTCCAGTACTCCTAGGTTTTCCATTGGTTCTCTAACCAATGTCAGCTCATGATGAAATCCTGTAACCAATCAAGTCCCAACAAACCAACACTTGAATATTGTTATTGTAAATTCAAAGCTCAAAGCTTGAAGGCTTATTTTCCACTTGGAACGCGAAGAAATAAAATAAAATATGCGCGTAAAATGTTAAGTTTGGAAAACAATTAGCTTGATAAAGAGGTACTAAACCAAGTAGTTGAGACGCGATTTACTTACGCCTCTTCAGTAATTTTCTTGAAGAGAGACTATGACTGAATTATGACTAGTATGAGAGAAAGCTTAAGGTGGTAGTCTCAGGCACTTCTGTTCTCTGTGATGGTAAGTTAAACCAGTGTACTACCCTGCACATGTTTACTTTTTTGGTTTGGCAGTATCTGTCAATTATTGTGTGGTAAAATGAAAAAGTGAAGAATATTTCAGTATAGATTCTGTGGTAAACCAACATCAGTTGGAGAACCCTTGAAAACTAGACAGCTACTCCGTCCAAAGCTCTACAAAACCCATGCTGTAAACGTTAATCTCCAGCTCACTGGTTGCTATCGGATGGATGTTCCGATAGTCAGTGCTGATACATGACACTGAGTAGTGGTACTGCCATATCATGAAGTAGGATTCATACGTCCCAGCGGCCGACTGACCAAACAGCTGTTCTGGTGACTCAGAGCTCCTGACTTCGATCCCTAGTTAAGTCATAGGGTAGTTCTGCAGTGTTCCTTGGTGGTTCGCTAACTGATTTCTTATCATGAAGTAATCTACAGTAAAATTTGTTCAAATTGCTACAAAATGTATATTCTGGACTACAGGATATTGTTTTCTAAGTTCTTCTGGTACCACCCTGCATAACTAATGACAACTGTTTTAGAGGGTGAGCACACTGTTCATATCTAGTCCATGCAAAATGGCTTGAAAGTATGGTTTACTAAAGTTTATACTAAACATTGGCGTTAGAGTTTTCTTTTCTCAGCCATCACTTGTCGGTCCCTGTTGCTTACAGACGTTTCAGGTAAATCAATTAAGTGCAGTGAGTGAACACGGAGAATTTACGTCTACTATCCCGAAAAGATTTATTCAAGCTGTACCACATAAAATTAAAGTTACCGTACAGACATTTTAATATATATATATATATATATATATATATATATATATATATATATATATATATATACAATTCATTCTTACTCATCATTTGTATAAGAAATTGTATGTATTGGTGGGCCTTTGTGTAGTTGTATCAATTTACGCTTCTTTGAGTGTTTCATTTTATTACTTTGACTTGAAGGAACCCTTGCCGACTTAGAAATTTCAGTGTTTTCTCCATTGAATTTCCAGATTTTATCAATATTCCCAATCAATGAAGAACAACTCACATCTGGTTTACCATCTGTAATTAGGTACAATCCTTTACTCATATTATTTAGATTTGTACCATCATAATCACTGGAAGTTTTTATCTGGTCTGACAGCACTGTATTTTTCAAATAATTTAAACCACGTAGAATTGCTTCACCTGTACACGTTCCACCGAGAGCTTTCAACTGTTCAATCCATGCCACTGCATCATGACAGTTCATTTCACTGGCGATTACTAAACCTGAATCTTGCCATTCAATCAAAAAACTATTGAAAGCGATTAAATTGAAGTGAACTTTATTCCTGTAATGAAAATACAATGTCATTAGTCAAACTTTTAATCTCTTTTTTTAAGACGATAAAATGTAAACTGTCACTGGCTTAATATTACATTAGCTATAGTCTAACCATTCACTGCCCCAATATTCGTTTCAGCCTGTTATCTATGATTCTATAATGTTTTTACTGATAGTTTTGCTTGAAGTTGCACGAAATACAGTTTCTTTTCACCGAAAATACCCATTGAGTCATGAAGAAAATAAAAGACAGATTCAGTGAAGAAAATTTTCTTCATCGACGAAACCATCTTCAGAGGCTAGCTGTGTACAGTCGTATTTATACTAACAAAAATATATAGTGGTCTATTATTGAGTAATTGGGGGTGACATAATTGATATAATTAATCATTAGTGGCTTTAGAAGTGAAAATTAAAAGTTGTAAATTACGTGGTACTCAACGACACAAAGATAGAAATTCGCTCTTGAGTGAGAATAAAGGTATTTGAGTGTCATTTTAACGAGTGTGAAAATATACAAAAGGAGCGTATGAGAGTGATAATAGTGAATTAATTATTAAAGAAAAAGCAAACTAAAAGCAAAATTAAAAATTAAATAAGTAAAGAAAAATCAAAACTTTTTTCAGGGAACTATTAGTGAAGAGATTAAGACCAAGGTAGAATAAGAGACTGGACAAACTTTTTCTGTATACAGAGTTCAGAGTTGTATTGATCTATTGCCAGCGCCTCCGCCATACACAAAAGCCAAAACCTGACACCCTTTGTACCATTTGGCTTCACTTTGTAGGTGATCTTGAAAGACGGCTCTGGTGGAGCTACGTGGCCTGAGTTCACCAAATGCTCGAGAATTGAGCTAGTAATTGTCTTACATTGTCCCTTTGCTAACCATGCTGGATAATGTTCAGAGATGCGTTTGGAAAGCGTACGCTTTGTGCAGCCAATATAACTAGCTCCATACGAGCAGGTGAATTTATAAACACACACTGAAGTGGCCCAAAGCGGCAGTTTATCCTTCACACATCCGTTGATCATTTGTCGGCTGTAGAAATTGATACTTAGTTCAGCCATAAAGGAGGCTTTCCTCAGTGATCTGCAAAAGCGATTCTTCAGGATCTCAGCTGCGGTATCACCTTTAAATTCAACACTCATAAATAGCAGTTTCTTTGGCACCGTCTGGATTCTTTCAGGCTTTTCCCTTAACTTCATGTTTTTCTCGATAAATCTTGGAGGATATCCATTGTCTATGAGAACTTGTCTGAGTCGCTCCAGTTCCCCATCGACTGTATCACTTGAACAGTTTTTTCCACAACTAAGACGCTTAGTAATCTGTGTTACAATAATGTGATCATGACTACCCTTATTTGAAACCTCCGCATATTTTTTTTGTCAATATCGAGTAGAAATATCACACAGTTATATCCCTGGATAAACTTGAATAGCGATGCAATAAGAAAAGATTTTACAGATGCAATCATATACACTAGAGGATCAACATCAATACAAGTGGATGCAATGATAAGGAAGTCTGTGGAAGCAAATTCATTAAAACAGACAGATGTTTGTCTTATCCATGAAGAATTTGTGCTGTAAACACTTTGTCCAGAAGAACAATAAAGACTTCACACCTAGACCATGCAGCCCAGCGAATACAGCAAAACCAAAAACATCAATCTGAGCTATACTATCACAATATGTATTCTCTGGAAATATTACTTCCGTAAAGCACTGGGTCCGATTCCCTGTTGATGCACACTCCAAAACTGCTTAGTTTACTATCTGGTAGCAAGGTGGAAAAAGAGGTGGGGGATTGTGTGTGAGACTAGCAACTCCACCAAATAAGAGAAACAACATCAACACTACCGAAACTTGAAAGCTTGAAGCCCTATGTTCCAATTCAAATGAAAAGGAATGAAAAAAGAGCAAGTTAGTAGTGAATCATACAACTATCAATATAAGGCAATCTGCTTAAATCACTAACTAGCCTACCTAAATTTCCATCCAAAATAATACATCGGATTTTCTGCATCGTTTATCGTTTTAATCATTTAGTTATGTCCTTGGGTTGTGAAATGGACTCACGCGCATTTTTACATAGCTTTCAACCTAATGTTGTGCAATTCTCGACGAAGGTGACAGAAGAACCTCATAAGGGATCAAAGAGCAGTTTGTTATACGATGTACTATGATATACCATTTTATCTAAAGATCCTCGATGAAGATTGAATATTATGCAGAAAAAAATACACAGAGAATTTCGTACTGAGTATAAACATTTATTGAAGATCATATGGCCAGAATGAATTGGCAACAAGAAACTCTGACTGGGAACAAACCAACCGAAAGCCGATCACTCAAACAATTTGTAGGCGAATATGCCAGATGGATCAGGCACACATTGGGGAGGCCGTCGAATGACATCGCGCTCAATGTAGGACATCGCTCGAGTGGAATCCAAATGGGAAGCGACAAGTGGGTCGTCGGTGTGAAGGTGACATGGACGCGGTCGTGTGTTCACGAGGAGGAGATGAAAGATTATGGGAAGTTGTGGACCCAGCAGAAGAGAACAGCAGAAAACAGCATAAAGTGGAGATGTGTTGTTCAAGTCCTATGCTCCACTCGGAACCCAAGGGAACAATAATGATAACATCAACACTTATTACTGTTATTGTAGGATGAATTTGACTTGCGAAGTATCTTTTCATAAGCTAGACTTGCTACTTTTTATATTTTTCCTGTGCTGTGAAGTTTCTTTATCGACTGAATACATATTTTCCTGGGTATAGTAGGCAGTCCAGCACCTAAGACCTTTCTAGATTACACGTCTGCCTTCGACTCAGTACCTGGGGACATTTTGTTAAACAAACTTGCTGAAATACAAACTGACTGTTGGGTTGTCAAATGGCTGCAGTCCTATATCTCAGGAAGAAAGCAGTACACTGTATGTCAGGGTAAGTCGTCAACTTTGTTGCTTACTGAGGCTGGTGTCCCTCAAAGTGCTGTTCTTTCCCCTCTTCTGTTCTCTTCCTTCTCGCATGACTTGCCTCATTCTGATGAAATGAACTTTGTTAAGTATGCGGACGATCTAACTATTTCAATGTCAGTTAACTCCCAGCTTGACTGTGCTAAGATGAACAGCTTTCCATCAGGAATTAGCGAATGGTATTCGTCTAACGGACTTAAACTAAATCCTTCCAAATGTCAGACTGTTAATTTCAGTTTCCGATGCAAGCGAAAGTTAAATGAAGCCGTTGGTTCCTATGACCCTTGCAAAATTGATGATACTGATATAGAAATCAAGTCTGAAGTTAAGTATCTTGGATTAATTCTTTCTTCTGACCTGGTCAGAAGTCTTCCATAGTCTTAGCGATTTCTAAAAGAATATTTCGTCTGACTTCTTACATTAAGAAGTAAAGGCGCTCAGGCATAACTCAACCCCTCCTCCTGTTACAGTTTGTCAACTTGTGCATCTTACCTATTCTTCTTTACTGTTCACCCTTATTCTTTCCTGGACTGTTTAAAAAAGACTATCTCATACTTCGTGGAATTCTGAAGACTGTCAGTAGGACGAGTGGTATCCTATTGGGCCATATCGTTGACATCGTCACTGATAGGCACTTGATGTCATGTAACAAATTTGCTAAAGGAATTTTGTCAGACTCTGAGCACCCACTCTACCCACAGCTCCAACCATGTGTCTCCTCAGGTAAAACAAGAAGTCTTTTCAGAAGAATTTATGCACGTACGTCTAAGTATAAAAATTCCACTATAACATATTTTGCACGTACTTTATGTGATGAAAATAGTGTCAGGCATGAACTAACTAACCTTCTTTGCACCACTAAACAAACCATTTCTTCCACCCTTACAGTACCAAACTTTATTGTTATTGTATTTCTTATATTTATAATCCCCTCACTTTTGTGTTTTTATTTATTTATTTTTCATAAGTGTGAACATAATTTAAGCTGTGTTAGAACTGTTAATTTTATATTTCCCCTAACTATACTATATCAACAGAACATTAGATCCAATAATCTATAACATGTTAAAGTTTCCAAACCGGATCGACAATATAGTTTGAAACAAACTCACTGTTATTATTATTATTATTATATTTAAAAATCTCAGTTCTTGCTTCGAATATTTTTGACTTTATATCGTAAACGTGAACCAATTCCTCTGGTTATTTTGCTTTAATTTTAAATTTTATTTATATTTTAAGTAAAGGTGTTGTGACAAATGCTGAGAATTCCATTCTGTATTATAAGTACTGTTTTTGGAATAAAATAAATTATTATTGCTAGACTAGATGTGGATCCAGCTAAAAATACAACTGCAGAGGGCAGAATGAAATACGTACTTGCTTCCGAAGCCCTATGTTCCAATGGGAACCCAAGGGAATAATAATAATAATAATTAGGATAATGAGGTTGTTATTAACAGTCTACTGAAATATCACTGTTAGTAGTTTTAAAAACAGCTGATAATATACACAAATGAGCCACACTTAGTTTTTTTCAGCTTCATTAGTATATGGGGTGAATTTGAGAAAAGCTTATGGCTGGTAATCTATGCATATCATAGTTTATTTGTTTAATATAAAAGAGGTTATTCACAATTAAAAACACACAGTGCTTATTGTCTAGTTAATTAGTTAATGTTGGCTAATCGTATTTCATTATGAATGTAGCCATTACGCATTTCGTCGGATTTTCATGCACTCATAAAGTGGATAATCTCAATTTAGAGGTTTTAGTGATCTAAATGACGTGTGAATGCCTTGCTAAAATACATACGCTCTTGAAATATGATTGATATATCAAACTGTATGTTCCACAACAGGAAATACTTAAAAGAGAACTGAATACTCCAGGAGTGGAGAGATTCTTGATTCACAAAACGTCAAAATGTTTTACTCAACAGTATTCCTAATGCCTGTAATTAACCCTTTCATTCTCAAGTGAGTGATCTGCAAGACTTGAAGATCACACAACAGACGTATAGGAAAATATATTAACGACTTACTTGTGTAGTTGTTCCCAGATTAGAATTTTCAGTTGAGTTTTTATCTCATTCATATGAATATCCATTGAACCGGAGGTATCAATTAAAATGACAATGTACTCTTCACGTATCATACCAAAATATTTTCTAGAGCCTGTTATTAACCACTTGTAACGCTGAATATAACGTTTCAATGCTTTTATCACCTAAAAAATTAAATTTTCACCAGTTTGAAGACAGTCGTGTAAAAGATTAGTTGTAAATGCAAATAATTTATCCATTATTTAACTCCTTTTGCGCTCTAAGTGGAACATAGGGCTTCAGGTTTCAGTTTTGATGCTTAAGTAGCAGTGGTGTTTGCACGGGATGGGGTTGCTAATCCTACGCCCAACCGGCCAAGGGAGGTAAAAAGGTGTGTGTACCGGCCGGGAGTCAAACCGCGGACCACAAACATGGTTGGCGAGCACTACACCACTGAACCACCGATGCACATGCACTGCATAGGTAAGCTTAATAGAGTCCATATTGAATACAAGACTGACCAGACGCTTTATTATAGACAAGAGTAGCATGCATAACGACGCTATATTGACTTAGGCGCAGTGATATAGTAAATGTAAATACTTGGAATAATTGATCTAGACAATTAATTAGCAGCAAACAATAAGTGCGTACTGCCGATGAATCCCAAACTAGGATAAAACACCTGTCCAGTAGTCCCTGGTTTTCAATAGTTCTCTAAATGATATCAATCCGGATTCTAGCCTGAAACAAATACAATCCCTGCAAACAAATTCTTGAAAATAAGAAATATGTAGAAATAATGAAGAGAAAGAAACTGTATTAAATAGTGAATTGTTGAAATTAAACATGTGTCGCATACATGTCGGGTAGTAGGTTGTTGTTTGATTCACTGGCTACGAGAGTTTCACATTGCCAGCTTATCATTTTTGATCGGCCTTCTAATCTTCAGTATGCAGTCAGAAAAAAGGCATGCATTGATGGAAGTTTGCGGCAGTCTGCTGGAAATGCTTTTGGTGACGTGGGCGCCGAATCTCTGAGTCATATAAAAACACTGACTTGATGTGAACGCTAAAAACTTTGAATCTTGTTGGCTTGTCCCAAGTGGTGTATACCTCCACACTGATTTCAGTGTCCTGCTTTTCCTATTTTGACAGGCTTGTACACCCTTATCCATGATTTTACTTTAAGCAGATAGTATCTAAACTGTACTGACTTCTTAAGCGTCGGTGGCAGAGCGGTTACGACGCTCGCCGACCTTGCACATGGTCTGGGGTTCGATTGCCGGCCGACGCACTCCTTTACCCCACTGAGCCAGAAATAAAGCTGATAAAGAGGAAGGCTTGGACATGAGGCTAGCATTTTTATCCTGAAAAAATAAACACTTTTGCAGAAACTTCAAGCCTTTAGCTTGAAGCCCTGTGTTCCACTGGGAACGTGAAGGAATTAATATTAAATAATAATAAAAAAACAGTGATGTGTACAACTACAAATTTAGGCACACTTTAGCCTATGTGAAAACAACGCTACTAAGTAAATCAAAGAGCAACATTTTAATCAACTCTCATAGTTTGTCAACTGACCAGTAGGCAGAATAATGCAGTTTTTGTTCAGTAAGAGTACAAACTATATAGGTGACAGGATTAATAAGATTTATGCTTAGGTTTACGTAACTAAATGAGTTGTTAGAAATAATTCTAAAGTAATTGTTGACTATTCTTTCAGGTACGTAGTCACTTATCCGATCTAAACGCAACCACTTTCATTCTTTGTTCTAAAGTAGTCGATCGTTGTTAAGACGACCAGACTTCCTAAGAGAATGACAGTCTAATGTTCTGTGATGCTTATTACAAGTGATTCCATTTCAATGTTTATTTCTTCGAAAATTCCCGTCATACTACTTATATCTGCTAATACACTGACTTGGTCACATAATAGTGTATTATTGTTTTCTCGATAAGGGGCAATTATCTGTTAGAAAGTTATATGCCACCATAGGAAGAAAATGCAAACCTTACATTAGATATCCATTGTGATGCATAAAATGTGTGTAGAGCGTCATCTGGCTCACTGAATAAACAATAAAGGTATGATATGAAGTGATACATATATTCCCTACTTTGTAAATTGTATTATCTCAGCGAATAGAAGTAAGGGGAATTCAGTTTCCTTATTAAATTTCTTAGTAAAATAACAAGGTATATTTTGTTCCGAGGCGACATTAGCTGGAGAACAACTGAAAACCGTAGAGCACTGGTCAGCTATTTCATCCTAATTGGGAACTCATCAATACAACAGATGTTTTGGTTATGAGAGGAGCACGCTTACTATTGAGCCGTCGGATAGGAATTCAACGGCTCATTAATTCCAGCGTTGACAACCATCGTTCGATGTTACCGGTGAGTAACTATGCACAAACTAGACTTCATAGGTCCTAGCGGTGACGAAATTTAACTAGAACTCTAGGAAATCAATACTAAAGCTAATCGCCAATGACAAGTGGGGCTAATATTATGAAGCAGGTTATATGAAGCATTAAATGACTTCTTGGTATACATTAGATGATGATATTCAAGTAAGTTTAGTACTCTGAGAAAACCTTTAGTGGGTATCCACAACCAATAGATCAATGCAAAGCCTTACACTGAAATGGATCAGTTCAAGTCACCACAAGCAGGTGAATAAAATAAGGAGGAAACACACAGAAATGTCATAACATTATAGTTGACAAAAACAGAGTTTTCAGAGGAAACAATTTTAGAAATCTTGTAAAGGACCAAGGCTGAATAAAGTAGTGAGTATATTGCTGATAGATTTTGTAACACATCACACTAATAGCTTCCAAACACTAAATTTTAACCAGCAGTTTTCTCATACTGCTTTATGATCAACAGGTACTTTTGGGATTATAAATAGTATGATGAGAATGGTAACGTAGATGGCACTGAAATAGAAACCAAGTCAGAAATTAAATACCTAGGCGTCACTCTATCTTCTGATCTTTCCTGGTCGCCTCATATCTTGATGATTTCTAAGAAAATATCCCGTCTTACCTTCTGCATAGAGAAGTTAAGACATTCTGGTATAACCCAACCCTTACTCCTACAATTCGTTACCTCTTGCATTCTGCCTATTATTCTCTATTGTTCCTCCTTAGGTTTTCCTGGGCTACTGAAGAAAGACTATATCTTATTACGTAGGATGTTAAAGGTTGTCAGTAGGGTAAGCAACGTACCACTCAACCAGCTTGTTAATATTCTGGTTGACAGACACATGAACTCATGTGAAAAATGGGCTAAATCCATTTTATCTAACTCACAACACCCTCTACATTCACAGCTCTCCCCTTGTATCTCATCAGGGAAAACCAGAAGCCTATATAGAAAACTATATGCTCGCACTAGCAAGTACAAAACTCAACCATACCCTACTTAGCTCGCGTTCTGTGCAATAAAGAAACCATTATGCATGAAACTTTTAACTGATTAAATAGTCAGTAGAACAACTGGATCTCGTCTTTCCAACTCATATCATTTATACGTACAACGTTTCCTTTCTTTACCCTTTCTCTTTTTCTGTTGTTATGCGCTGCTTTGTTTCTTTTTTCCTTACTAACTCCATTAAAACATTCTTCGTTCTCTCACACTATATATCTCGACCTTTTGTTACCGCTTACGCCAGTAAATATGCAAGCATCTAATTTTCTAACAACTTCAAACATTCTGTTCAATTTTGGCTTTGCTACCGATATGCCAATATGTTGTTGTCATAATGAACTGAGATTACCTTTAATCTATATAGAATTTCATTTATTGTTAATATACAAACTGGAAGCAATACTGTAGTAGAATGCAGAGAATTCCATTCTGTATCACAAGTACTGTTTTGAAATAAAGCAAATTATTATTATTATTATGAACGTTCTCATGGCTAGCAGTGGGAACGAAGCATCCGCACTAGGAGGCAGAATGTCAACAAAGATCGGGTACTTCGGTCTAGCATGATCGATCAATCAATCAACGGGGAATAAAAACTGATTTCAACAAATAATTCCTAAAACTGGCTTTTTCCCAACAAAAGTGTGTTTAATTAACAAGGAAGGTTAAAAGAAAGTAAGGTTAAGACTGCTTTATTGTTCTTTTATGCGAGAACATAATATTAAAAACACTGAAATAACCTTCTCAAACTAAGTAAAGTACGTAAAGTCACAATAGGAGATAGGGGAGAAAAACTTTTCACTCCTTACAACTGAAAACCCTTTGATATTAGAGGGTAATTAGGATTTCAGCTTAGAAGTGTATGTTTTTAATATGCTGAAAAAACAGGTCAGATATATTGTAAACTTTCCCTACCTAATAACACCATACTAACCAGGCGTCAGCGGAAACTGATTAAATGCCAGGGTAGTTACTGTTTACTTCCTATGTGTTTACCTTTGTCTTGACCTTTTGTATTTATACTTCCTTATAAGTTATCCATTGAAAACAACCATAATTTAAGGGAAATTATTATGAGCAATAAGAATTTAGACTATATTATCACAAGGATATCCATTTTTGTTTGCCAGTTAGACTATGGTGTGCCTTTTCCTATTTGCTTGACGATGTCTTGAAGTAGAATTCAAAACGTATATTTCATCTCATTCAGGATTTGTCAACTTGAAGTAACTGTATCACTGTGGGTAAATGGTGTTCTAACTGGGACTAAAATTAAGCGTCTATCTTCCTAAAGACCAAAAGACTAACTGCCAAGCTAATAAGCCCACACTTAAACAAGTAACATCAAGTTCAAGTATATGGCAATCAATTGAATCAGGCAATCAAAAGTGGGATCAGTCAACTCGAACTATGAATATCGACGTGAACAGATAATGTTTATTTCCTTGTTGTATATATAAGAAGTAAGTTAGTGAGTGAATTCATTTACATTTGTTCAAGTGAAACTATTTTTCGTATTGGCCAACTTGATTTTCAAATGAAGACAGAGTAGTAATTCGCCTAATTCACGTCTTTTATCCGCGTGTTGTCTGCGAATTTCGCTTTTGGTTACTAATCTCTGCCTTTTTTTTTGCCACTTTCCTTTGAGAATGAAATACTATTCCTTTCGTTCTCTGGGTAAGATATAAGCCTTCTTCAAGTTTCTCAGATGTTATTATTTTCAAAGTTAACTTTGATTGCATGATTTAACTTTCTTATTTTTGAATAAAGCAAGAAAAACAGGTTTTGTAGAATAATAAGGTACAATCATTTATTTCGTTAGCTTCTCATCATCTGCCGCTTATAACCTAAATAAATTATAAAGTTTATGTACAGAAAAGTTTAAACATACTTGCAAATTTTACATGATTTCAGTTGACAGGATGTTCTGTCTGAACTTGGTGAATAGCGCTCAGAAAATTACGCTTATATAGTTTTGCACAGGGAGTTCAGGTTTAAACAAGGTTGAATGTATGCATACAGTAGTAAATGAGTTACGTAATAAAGATAAGAGATGCGTAACTAATAACTGCTTATTTCTGAATACCTAAATCGGGTTTCAGGTATTTGATAGAGATTTCTTCGGCAAACTTATGGAGAATCGAGCTCATTTGTCTTTTGATAATTTTAAAGAATTTCGCGATTTCCACCTCATGACCCGTACCAAGGAGATGCTTGGTAATGGCACTACTGTAAGCTTTTATCCCCTTGGGATGTAGACTGTTCGGTACATATTAAGTAAATCTGAGTTGCCCCTTCTTCCTGTTGTCCCAGTGTAACTTCCCCCGTAGATACATGTAAATTTGTATACACAGTTGAAATTAACATGAGAAGGGTATCTGTCGACTTTTGACTGCACCAAAGAGCATGTCGTCCCATAGACGGGAACCAACTTAGCTTCGGGATAGGCTCTGGTTAGTGACGTACTCAGTCTTCTGTTGACTATTGCTGCAATACTTTCACCTTTGAAATTAAGTTGAATGAAGACAGGCATTTTTCCCTGTGTGATTTATTTGGCATTTCAGCCTTCACATCTTCCATACTTATTAATGAATCTCTGAAGCTAACCGTTGTTTTTCAACATCTTTTCGAGAATCACAAATACAGGGTCTTGACTAGTGCTCGTTTAAAGCTATTTGTAAAAAACTATTAAAATGTAGGTATTGTTAATTCCATGTCGGCTTTCGGTAAACTGACTTCTGAAGACTACCATCTTCTAGGCGTTGCATGCTAGTGTCAACGAAATGGAACTTTCCATCATCCTCATGTTCAATATTAAATTGAATATTTGTATGTGCGTCGTTGAATAATCTAGGTGTGTAGGAAGTATGACTTTCGTTGTTGAACACTACAAATATGTTACCTGTGACATACTGACAATAAGAAGTTGTTTCGTTGATTGCATGCTTCAACTTTGTTTTCTCAAATTTGGACATGAATATATCTACTAAAACAAGGCTAAGTGGACTGCCCATAGCTACACCATCTATTTATTGGTAAGGAGTGTTGTCAAACTGCAAATGTACATCCATGGTACATATTAGCACTAGGCGTTTGAATTCTGACTCTGGGAGAATCTCAGACAGCTAAAAAATAATCTTCATAGTTTCATTGATTGGGATCCTTGTAAAGTGTTTTTTATTTGTCTCTTAAATTATCAGTTACAAATGATTTCACCTTTCTTTATGCAAATAAATGAGAAGCAGTATTTTTTTTTTAGATTTCAGCATTCACTCAAAGAATACCCCTTTGTCGTTTATACTATCAAAGATAGCTTTGCAGATTATTGTGATTGTTACTAATTAAATTTACTAAATGAAGTTAAACCCATACCGTTGGACACAGTTTAGAACGTTCAGCATGTTACTAAGTGAAGAACACTCACTACCTTATCGGCCTGTGAAATTGTCAAAAATGAACTGAAGAAGGATAAAGTGAGGTGAGCGAGATTAGAACATTACATTATTTCTAAACACTATACATAATTATACATATAAATATGATAGTTCAACAGCTTTATAAATCTCAGTAACCTACTTCTTGTTTAAAAGCTTCCAGTTCATCCAGTGTGTACTGAAGATGTCGAAGAGTCCCGGACACATTAACAAGTGGGAACAGACCACTACAGTAGCGTGCATGTACAAGTGTTCGAGTTGAATTAATAAAAGACATTTCATGTTTACAATCCATTCCAGATGTAAGACGTGTTAAATTCAGTCCCAAACTACGTATACTATATTTACGTAGCCATTCACGACTGGTAAGCTTTCGAATAAATAAAACAAAGAGAGAATAAATATGCGAAAAATCAGGTAGTTTCATAAGGATAGGGAAAATTCCTTTTGCACTAATAATACCAATTATGCATTAAGATTAGGATTCTACATAAATGACAGGTGACAACAGATCAAGTGGAAATTATTGTCCATGCATCATACAATGTAAACTTTAAACAATATTCTGGCGAATAATTCTCCGCTGAGTAAAACTCTAAAGTAATCCTTTCATATTCACACTGTGAATGTGTAGCATAGGTTCAAACACAGAATATATTTATCTAACCGTTAATATGATTACTATCTGTACGAGAGTCCGCCGCTTATCAGTAAATTATCAAACATCAATTTTTAAGACTGACATGTAGGACAATGCGTTTGAAAGTATTATTATTATTTATTGTTCCCTTGGGTTCCTAGTGGAACATAAGGCTTCAACTGCACGTCTCCACTTGCCACTTCTGTCTTCCTTCTGCTGTACTTTTCACCTGCATCCATGTTAGTCCATACTCTTTCAACTCCTCTTCACACGATCTACTCCATGTCACCCTCGGACTGACGTCCCACTCGCCTCTTCCCTTTCGGCCTGGTTCCACTCGAGCAATGGCCTGACGCGCGCGCGATGTCACCAACCGGCCTCCTCGGTGAGTGTCCGATCCATCTCCACTTTCTCCTGGATATCTGTTGGCTGGCGATTGGTTCTTGTTTTGTTTGTTAGTGCCCATAGTTTCTTGTTAGTGATTCTTTCCGGCCCGGCCATCTGATCGTCAGTATAGAGCCAGCGAAGACATTTGTTGATAAAGGTCTGCAACAGGCTGTTGGAAATATTCTTTGTGACCCGCCTGCCGAGTTTCTGATCCGTATAGAAGAACTGACTGACTTGACGTTGTTTGTATTGAAAATCCTACCGAATTTTGTTGTTGACAGTGGCTGAGTGACGAAGATTTCCAGATTGGTTTCAGGTTGATGAATGTATTTCTCGCCTTCCCGATTCTCGCTCGATTTGACATCCTCGTCCGTTCCGACTTCCTGTAGTTGAGACAATGCTCCCTAGATGATAAGTGAATGAATTCACTAACCTCTTTCAAATCCCTCCCGTTGATGGTGATTGGCGCTGGATGTTGCTGTTGTTGTTGTCGCTGGTTGGCTGGTTATTTTCATAACCTCCGTCGTGTCTATGTTCACCTGGAGTTTAAAAGTAATCTAACAAAAAGGAGGCTACTCACAAGTTAAAAGGAGATAGTGTAACCTGTTAAGTATATAAATTCAATAACACTAGACTGGATCAGCTTTTAATTTCTTCTTATCTTACAATTAACACTGAGAGATGATTGCTAAGTACTTAAAATCTCTGTTCATAATGAAATAGTTGCCTTAAATGAAGAATAATGCGTTTTGATGAGTATTGCGAAACACTTGATGGACAGCATTAATTCTAGACAGATCTTAAACACAAAGCAAGAACTACAATGGTAATTCAGAAATACTCAAGGCTCACCAATGATTTTATGTCATATATATATATATATATATATATATATATATATATGGTGTGAAATATGTTTCATATTCTGTTGCTTTATCTAAACTGTCTAATAACAGATTGTTTTCATCCACCTCATTTGAAATAGTCTCCCAACTGTCACATTAAGGGCGATGTTAAAGAATGAATAGGCGGACAAATGAATTCACCAATAGCCTTGAAACAACCAATCAAAGCAAAGCACCTTAACCAGGTAAAGATCACGATATTAGTATAAGCAGGATTGAAAAAAGTGTGGATACCTGGATAGTTTTAGGCTAGGAAAACATGAGGTTTAGAAATAAGGTTAGATCAAGGTTAGTTTAAGGATGGTTTCGGTTAAAAGTTAATTGGTGGATGGTGACTAGCAGTGGAATCCAGGATGCGCCTTTCGTCCTATTTGGAACTTGTCAACTGGATGTACCTACATTCCGCAGTGAGTGGGGCTCGAACCCACCGCCCATAGAAGCCGACATGTCAACCTGGGACCGAGCACTTCGGCCCAATCAACCGACAGGAAAATCCAAAATTGAATTAAATAGTGGTTTCGGTTAGATCAAGGTTAGCTTTAGGGTAGAGTTAGGAACCTAGGTTTGTCATTTTGCTCAACTGGAGGTTTCAAGGTCACCGGTGCCATCGTTTTTCCCAAGTTTATAGTTTAACTTGACCCCAAAATGACAAAGTATAAAGCAGAAACAACTGATAGTATAAAACCTTGTCGCTTTTATGATAGTGAAGATTTGTACCCCAGGTGGGTAATATTGGTGTAGTCATCTTCTCTGACATGGATGGTGAATTACTTGTGAAGCTTTCATCATCCATCTAGACAATATCTTTAGCGCAGATTTTGATATGAAGATGTTGTCTGGTTAGAAAACTAAACGGTTCACCTCAGAAAACACAACTTTACCAATATATTATGTTTACTCTTATCAGAAGTAAATAAATGCTTAACTGTAGTTAACTTTAATATGCTAGTGATCTCTTATCTGGGGGTAACATATCATTATTATTATTCCCTTGAGTTCCAAGTGGAACATATGGCTTCAAAAACACATCTCCACTTAGTTCTATTAACTACTGTCATTTTCAGTTGGGTCCACGATTGTCCATAATCCCTCATCTCTTCCCCACACGATACCCTCCATTTCACCGTATGAGACCCACTCATCACGATGAAGTCTATAGAATGTGTATTATGAAGTGGTAGTATAAATCGTTCACTAGTGAGTATATAAAAGATTTAATTCCCTAAAATAACAAAGATGATATTATGACATTAACTGTAGTTATTGAAACTACAGTCCACTGGGTTGAGTGAATTAACTTCAAATCTTAGCAGGCAAGACATCAGTCAGTCAAATGCTCAACGCGTCAGCGGAATAATCAGTTTTATTTTCAAATACTCATCATGACCAGTGTTTTAAGCGAAAACTATACCAGATACCTGACTTAATCAAAACATTTGGTCACATTAGATGAAGAAGAGGAAGATAATTAATAAAGACATACTTTTTCTTCTTCTGTAGGTATCTGACAGTTGAACCGTCTAATTTGAATTGGTTTTCCAGTGATACTTGATTTACTCCTACCAGACACTTTATTTCTTATAGAATCAGACTGTGTTCTGTCAGTAGTATAAGTTTCAGGATACCAGGTTAAAGATTTTAGATGAAGATCATTGCCAGAAGAAATACTTTTTATTTTCGCTTGAATTGCATCTTTTCTAGCCAATGTTAATGAGTTTAAGCGTGGTTCCAGTTGACTTGAAGTAGTTAATCCATTCGTTATTTGATTGTTATTATTACTGGCAGCAGCATTAGTAGTAGTAAGAAGACTTTTCGACACCATACTTCTATCAGACTTATTCTGATCATCTCTAAACATGTTTTAATTTTATCAAATGGTAGAAAGCATTCAGACAAGGGGATTAAATTTAGTTTTAAAGAATGAAAATAAAAATTAGAACATGTTATTAGCACTGTTCATTAAAAATATCCGCAATATTTTCTCATCTTTTGACTGACTGAATGAATGACTGCGATTATTATATCTTGAAGTTACTACAATGATGCAGTAAGCCAATGACTAGAAAAAGTCAGTGGTAACTTATAGAAATTGTGTTGTAGAATTCGTGAATAAAACGAAATCCTTCATTTCCTTTCCCTATGATCGTCTCCATGTCACTGTGTACCTACGCCCAACACTTGATCACTAATTCGGGTTCTCCTAGTGAACCTGGTGCGCGATGTCACTCAACTGTCCCCACAGAGTATGTTCCATTCACCTCCATTCCATTCTGCATAGATTTCTGACTGGTTCACTACTAGAATCCCGTGCAGCTTGTCTTTTCTGATTCAAGGCTGGTCCTTCTGCTAAATACTGCGGATCCCTTTATTGATTTCAGAGTTATGAACACTTGTCTGCCCTTCTTTCTAGAACCTGATGGCTTTTATATTGTCATTCGTGCCAGCTTTATTGGAAACAATGCTGTCAATGTAAGTGAGAGAAAGAGATGACTTCGTTCACATTTCTCTTATTGACGGTAATTAGTGTTAGTTACTGATCGGGTCGGATATCTTCTATGTTTTCTCTATCTCCACTTGAATTCTTGTCTTTACTACTTGTTCTTTCATCCGGCTTGTTGCTTTCCACTTGTAAATCTTCGAGTCTGTGAGACATGACTAATAAATGATCTGAGAAATTCAGATCTTCTAGGATATTTTGTACATCCACTCACAGTGAGCGACATGATCCAATCCATCACAGTCAAGAATACAGCAGCGAAACGCGGTTTATAAACATTTGTGGGAGTGCACTCCATAGTGTCGTTTTCCTCGAATCTACTGTGTTCTTGGAGAGGCCTTCCACACAAGACATCTTTTAATCTTCTCAGGATGATGCCACTTAATATTTTGCTTATGTGTAGAGTAGCACAATTCCATGCCAGTTCTTATATATGCTTAAGTTGCCTTTCTTTGGCAGTTTAACAAGGTCCCTTTCCTTCCTAGTGGTGTATACTTGTATGTTCATATTCATTGAAGAGGTGCTTCAGAATATCCTATAACTTACAACTCTTGTTTCTCTTGTAGGCAATTTTATTTTAACTGGTTTTCTTACCAGTGAGATGGGAATGAGCTCATCTCAAGCATTTTGCTGCCAGATAGTGCGGAATATGAAACTGAAACAAAATCTTTGTAGGATCTTGCAGTAACAAGATATGACATTCTCGGTAAGTTAAGTGGTTTTATTTAGGCGTTTATTGACAGCATTAGTTGCATAAAACGAAGAGATACTTTATTTAATTTTTTTAAATTCGTTATAACTTGACTCCACACGGCATTTTTTATACAAGTATGGAATTTTCAGCATGTGATATCGGTAATTCAAATTTTGCGGAGCGACCAATGATATCATGTGTGCATCGGCCGGGGATCGAACCCCGAAACATTTGCATGGTCTGCGAGTGTCCTAGCCGCTGTGCCACTGAGTAGTAGCACTTTAATACCTGCAATTTACTGCATTCTGAACGAAGTAATATTATTAAAAAAGGGAAGTAAGCTTGAAAAATTATGTCAAAGTTTACAAGTAAGCGTCGGTGACTCAGCAGTAGGATGCTCACCGACCATGCATGTGGTCTGGGATTCGATTCCCGGCCGGCGCACATCTTTACCTCCCCTAGCTGGATGTTAGATCGACAAAGATAAGGAAGATTAGGTGTGAGGCTACCAACCTCACCTCGTTAAACAACCGCACTACTCAAGCTTGAAGCCCCATGTTCCACTCGGAACGCAAAGGAGTAAAAGCATTTAAAAAAAAACACTTCAATACTAAGTATTAACCTACTTTGATACGACTCGTTGATCTCTAACCGATGCCACTAGTAGTTGAGCTTGTTTTGAATAACTAACAGCTTCATCGATTTCTTCCAATAAAACACGGACATCATCACTTTCAATGATACCATTCTCACGAAACCAATGAAAACGTCCATTCGGTGTCGAATGAGCTATTTCACTAAAGCAAAATGTCACAAACGGAAGTATTAAAAATTGGTCAAAAAAGGCATGTAAATTTTGGTTGACAAATGTTGTTATCTCTAGTGTACACATATCTTTTGAACATAGAGTTGAATCAAGCTTAGTTCTCAACACATTTGATCCCAATCGGTTTAGGACTGTGCTGTTGAATTGTTGGATAGACGAACTACACACAACAACAAACTGAGATCCTTAAGGTTGACAAATGAATAATCAACTTAGCAGAAGCAATTGACTGGTTATACCCTAATAAAAATGTAAAAGAACAACTAAATTCACCTAGAGCCTGCCTGTTCACATGTCTGTATGATAACACAACTAACAAAAAACAAGACAGGTATAATCGCGTACCAACTTCCGTACTTCCTGGTCTTCAGTGCCTCTCAAAATGAGTTCATTTCGTGAACAAACTTGAAATCAATCAAATCCCTGTAAAATGACACTTTAAAGTCAATCTAATACCCCCTAGTCACTGACTACCGGACGACGTTGTCTGAAGTTCTAACACGTAGTCGTGGTTAGACGGGTCCATCAAGTAGGGTATGAAGACAAACACTCACTGATGACATTGGCTGGCTGGTAGTGCCATATTTTATTACAGATTAGCCGAGGTTAGAATTTATGGGTTTCCAGATTATATCCCAGTATCTGCTTAGTCGACAAGCTAATCTTGCAACCTAAAGGTCCTGGGTTCGATCTTCAGGGAGGTAATGGATGCGTTCTTCTGCAGCATTGCAAACTGCAACGAAACAGATGTTCAGTACTCACTCTGTGTTTTTCAGTGAGCCTCAAATTGAAGTTAGTTGGTCATCCCATTAGAAGTCGATTGAATGCCTGCAAACCAACACTTGGAAATAAATAAGACAGTCTTTTTCACTTTATTTCCCGCCTTCCAAAGATAACCTTGCATTCATATATATTTCTTAAAGAATATCCAAATAGAAAGCCTTATTTGATTAGGCACATCTCAGTAGGCTAAATAATAAAAAGATATGGTAAATTTATCTTAGACACAAACGATATATATATATATGTTTGGGTATTTGTAAAAACCTTCAAACGTGTATCAACAGAAATGACAGGCAAAGTTCATATAAAATTCGAGGAGTTAGAGTAACAGAAGCACTTTATTTTAACAACTTTGAAAACAACAAACAAGAATCATAATAAGTTAAGATTTACCGTAAAGAATTAGCAGTTTCTGTAATATTTGCATAACGACTTGGTAAATGTTTATTTGTAACAATGTCATAATCATTCACATTGTATAACGCTATATGCACATGAGTGTTTGTAAAGGTGCAACGTTTAGCTTCAAGATATGACGATATCACTTCACTCTCTTGATCAGGTATGCCTGATGTAAATAGATAAACGCCTAAAGGTAGTTCAAATAGATCTTTTTCTGATTGGCTTTCAAAGGCTAATCTATAAAGACCAGAAGAAAAGGCTAGAAGTAGGCAAATGATTAAATGATATTATCGGCCAAAAAAAACAAATCGTCAAGTGTCCCTAGACCTTTTGAGATTATACAGGGGTAAAATTTGCAGTAACTGTCAATGTCATCCTCTATTTTGTCTTATTCAAGATGACAGGCTCAGGATTTTTACTAGGTGTGTATTTGTCTTAGTGAGCGGCATTTCATCTGAACACAGCCTATCTCCTTAATTGTAACTGCTGATCTTCATTTTTATTGAAGACATTTTGAATCGGGTGACTTCTTCAAGTTCCAGTGCACTAGGAAATGGTCTGTTTGAGAGACGACCTACTCAACGTCTGACATCCTGATAAAAGACTTCGGTAATAAACAGTGACTTATTAAATGCAGAATATAATGAGTGTCGGTGTCCACGAAATTCAGGTTCAACTCTCGTTTGTACCGATGCTTAGTTTACCAATAACAGAGAAGTCGATTGGATGCATAGGAAAATTTATGGCTGAAATTATATATATATATATACATGCTCACTATAGGTCTAATTTCAAGGGCCCAACGAATCATATCTTCTTTCATTTATTTATCACTACATTTTCGAAAGATGATATGATTCAGAAAGTAAGATACGTGAAAGTTATGCTTTAGGAACAACTAAATTGTTGTCTATGCAGCTGAATAACACAAGTCTAAGTCCCGAAGTGACAATCAACCAACATCTACAATTGAGAACAAAATGCGCTACAGTGTACAGTAATATTGTGTCACTTGGATTAGTTTCAAAACTGCACATTTGACGAGTAGGTTTTCGTCAGTCTCCTTAGGACAAAACAGCACAACTGACTACCATCAGTAGGATAATTTATGTACATTACCAAATTCAAATGCAAAATACACATATACACTTGTTAACTGATGATTTCTTGCTTAAAATTTATATTTTTTTTATAGATATATCACTGGAAATGCTTAGAAGTACCTCTACTCTTTTGTAGACAGTGTCTACTATGCTCATCATTTCCAACCATTTGGAAAGAAAATGAAAGAAAATTTCTGTTCCCACTTAAAGTGATTTAAACTTGAGCATTAATAAATTTGTAATCTAAAAAGACCTAGTAACAATGTGTTACTTAACAATAATTTATCAATAGCATCTAGTTTTGGAAATCTGATGATCTGCACGCTTAATTGTACACCGCATGTAATCCTTTCCACAGGAAGATAAGTAGGCAGTCTAACTCCACTGCATCGTATGTCCTCTTTGGGGAACTCTCTAAGCATTGGGAAACAAATTCACTAATAATATTTCCAGAAAAATGCAGTTGTAAGATGAGCAGTTTCCTAGAAGCTTTTGTCATACTGAGTAGATTAGTTATGTTTTCCTTGGCAGCTGTTCTGAGGATTTTGCAGTGGTAGTTAACATGTAGCTTCTAGCTACTCGTCGACAGACATGTTGCTCATGTTTCTTTAGTTTGATGAGCTAGTTATTATACTAGATTACAGTTCTGTTCTGAAAATCGAAGCTAAAGCTCTCGTTTGGTTGACAAGCATTCTACCCCCGCACCACTGAACCTGTAATTACCCAAACATGGTGAATATTATGAACAAAATAAACAGTATCACAAAAGGTAAGATAACTGAATGTATTCTCGGTAAGAATGCTGAAAAATCCTACTTAATTAATCATCAGAAGTGGTTTGTTGTAAAGACTAACCTTAATGCACTTAATAAATTACGACTACCAGAACAATGATGTGTTTGAAACCATTCCCAGCAGGCTTGTAATGTGTCAACATTAACATCGACCAGATTCAACTGATAAGCTTTCGGCTCTGAACCAAATATGATTATATTAAATTTAGATTTTGTAGAAATTTGTTCTTCTAGTAAATGACGTAAACAATAGTGTATATGAACCATATAGACAGAATTATTTTCTGATAAGTCGACAAGGATTATTGCATTTGGTTCGATAACTGTACCAAAATATCCTCGACTTTTCTGTGTTAACCAGTGTATTCGTTTCTCTAACAAACAAACCTACGAAAAGAAATGTATAAAATGATAAATAAGGTTAAAGAAAATTAGGCAAACAGTGGGTAAAGATAATTTTCTTCGAAGTGTCCTTAAAATTTGTTATGGTAACTGAGTTTATATATCCGTTTAAATAATGAAGTATTGAAATAGTTTATTCTTAAATTACTCATTCAAAACAAACACGCATATCTGAAAAGTGAATATTGAAAACTTTAAAATCCAGTGAAAAATAAATATGGATTATAATTTTTGCGTTGTCATGATGTGTCACAAATGTCCACGTGGAATATTAAAGAAGAATGTTGTCCACATCGAACAGCAGGCGTTCTAAAGCCCATTCTGAGTAGTGGCTATTTTTGCCAGTTCAATACAGTCCAGTGTAAATCATAAATCTTAACCGCACATAATGAATATCTTGTTTGAAACGTTAGTTCTTAGTTCAGAATGTCTCAACTCAACTGGAACCAGCTGTGTGACTTGAATACAACCATCTGTTAAAAAATATATCATCATCTTGGTGAATAACTGTTGATCAAATTGTGAATGTTCTAGTTAAACTGTTCCTCAAGCTGAATTCTTTTGTAACACAGCCTTCAATGACATTTTAGCCATCCTAGACGATGAATTGAATGAATGTCAATGAATGTTATTCTGAAAATTCTGTAATTAGCATAATCTTTGTATATCAGACATATTTGGGTTTTTCAGTTTTATGCTTAATTTTGTGACCCAGAAATCATCAAATCCTCATGCCAACCAAAAGTTTATGTCTTAAATTGTGTATAGCTCACAGATAAAATATTGTGTTCTGGTTTTTCGGTATTCCAAGTAAATTTAAATGGAGTTTCCAAAATGGAATCCTATATTCGCGTTATGTTGGCCTCTATTTAACAAGTATCATGTCTGGTTGTTTCGTTTAGGACTAAGTAAAAAATCTGAATAAACAGTTAGCAAACTTGTACAAATTATCGGTCCCATAACGATGAGTTTATGCTGACATTTGTATGGGAAGGTTTACATCTGAAAATCAGAGGTAGATTCAAGAATATAAGACCTATCAGTATTATTATCATCATTACTATTTCCCTAGGTTCCGAGGGGAACATAGGGCTACTTCATCACCCCCATATTTACCTGGAGTCCTGTCTCCTCTCCTTCTACGGTCAAATTGTTGGTTTTCGGATGTAGATCTTCGAGTTTGTGTGACTTCAGACATGAATCATGCACAAACTCCAGATCTTCTTGGGTCTTCTTGTCGGTCCAACGTGTTCCTGTCTCCTAGCACCTGACAGCCTTCCACATGATCCAACTTCACCACAATTACGAAGATCACTGGAGATGGTAGGCAGCCATCCAGCCAGCTTGTCTTACTTCCATATTCATTTGAAGGACTTAGGTGAGATTTCTTCTATGGATCACCTGACACGCAGCATTGTCTAATAGCTGTTGAATGAGGTTGATACGGATTAAAAGCACTCCGTATTATCGGAGCAGGCTCGAAATCGTTTCGCGGCCTACACTGTCGAAAGCTTTTTCAACATCCGTGAAGTTGAGATGGAGATTTGACTGTCGTTCTATGTTCTGTTCGATGATGATAATAATGACGATGATGAGTATCGTCGCAGTTTTATTTGTTCATGACTTTGTTTTCCTGAATTCACCTTGTTCCGGATAGCGGAGTTTCGCATCCAGGGGATTTTTAGACTTTTCAGTGGTTTGGCTAAATTAGCGTTGTGCACAGTGCACATGCTAATATACTTCACTCCTGTCATACGTGCTGCATTATAATCTTGTTTGCATTTAATTTCAAAGAATGTGATCCTAGTGAAGTTGACAGAAATCTCAAGCCAATCTTGACTTTTATCTTAAAGTATCTTCTTTAAACTAATCTATCATACGAAACGACTCAATTTCGTTCGTTTGAAGTATATGAAGTACACTACGAAAAGTGCCTAGTCTTAATGACCAGAATTTTAGACTTTGATTAAAGGACAGAAGAATCCCTCAACGGAATGTTTACCATACTGTGTTCAACAAGCGGTAATAAAGCACAAATGTATTAGAGCTTTGTTCCACTACCAGGTAATCTCTGGAATGGGTGAAACATTTGTCCCGTGGTGTGTGATTGCTCATGGATGGTACTCATTTGGTGTCTGGTAGCGAAGTATGGCCGATTAACTAGTCGTCGATGTGTCTGTGTTGTTAAATATCGTAAAATTTTAATGCAGCTGATTACAAACAACAATACGTGTATAAACAACCAATTTTCATCTCACCAAATTTGTTATCTCTCTTTGGTATCTATACAATTCATTAAGATTTACGTGAACATTTTTGATTGAACCATCAAGCCATCTCATTTGAACCATGCATTTTTCATGTATTTGAGCACTGACTGACCGTTGAATTGATGGCACATAACCAACAACTTGAGAATATGCATTCGGTGCTAATATCTATGCATAAAAAAAGACAAAATTGACCACATATCATTATTATCTAAAACTTAGAGTAAGTGTTTTTACTTCGCAATATATTTCATGAAACAATGTCGCCCTTCATGTTTTTAGAAATATTATTTCAAAGACAGAGAGAGAATAGTGAGTTCTATAATTCAATTGACGGATGGTGACTGGCAGTGGGATCTAGGATGAGCATTTCGTCCTATTTGGGACTCATCAATGGGATGTACCTGCATTTCCCAGTGAGTGATGACGTTCCCACCGAGGCTCTGTACCGGTGCCCATAGTTTCAAACGCCATAGTGTTATCCACTCGACCACTTGGGCCACAACAGCCACCTCTTGTGCAACGGGCCTTATTAATTATTGAATTCAATTTAAATTTTCCCGTCGATTGGCAGGTATATCCAGTTGACGAGTCCCAAATGGAACGAAATGCACTTCCTCGATTCCACTGCTAGTCACTATCCACCAACTGAATTCAAGTTACATGACCAAACATTATCGAAGCATCTGCACAAGAAGCTGAGATGGAGAACTTCAGTCCAATCTATGGATGAGAAATTTTACATTTAATTAAATAAATAACTGAGTACTATTGATATAAGAATAAAACTTGTCCACTGTGGTAGAGTATAATTCCATTATGGGTAAATTTTTGTTTTGATAAAGTCTCACAGTGTTATACAGTAATGTTTACTGATGATGTTTCGAGCACCTTGATATGATTATGAGCAATAAATTGTGCTCGAAACGTCATCAGTAAACATTACTGCACAACACTGTGAGACTTTATCAAAACAAAAATTTACCCATAATGGAACTGATTACTATAGCTGAAAAAAAAAACTAGAAGCATATTTAGTTGGTCAGAACCTGCAAATTTCACCCGTTAAGTTCAGAATTTCTAAGTTTTATTCCTTAAATAGTTTTGCTGTTAAATGACGACAAGAAAAGCCTACGTTTTCAGGCTATGATCATGGTAAGGATGTTTTAAGTTAAGGCTGAGGCTGAATTTGTCCATTAGGAGGTGGATTTCTATCGAATCGTAAACAGTTATGCTTTCTGGTGTAGTCGTAAAGCAGTGTGAGACGCTACTTTTTGGCTCTCAGGTTCACACCTACAAACCAGACCTTCGGTAGGTCTAATTTTAAGAACTTATATTTACTTAAAATGTTTAACCCATTCTTAGGAAACCGCATTCACTTTATATTAAGCGTTGCATTAAGTGCAGAAACAACTTACCTGAAATAAGTTAAGTTTTCGAGCTTTCAGTCCATGTTTATGTAACCATTCAATTGAAGAAGTTGGTTGAAAATGCTTCCATTGTCTGCAACACCTGAAATATGATAAGTTACCTGTTCACCGATTCTTGATATTGATTCAACACATACCTATCCAAATGGCTTAATCGAAGCTTCCCATGCAATGACTCGGTATTTATTGGTTGAGGTAGTGAATATATTGGCGAATCACACAAAGCATCAGATGCCATATTTATTTCATGTACAGCTTTCTGTGCGACAGTCGATGAACTCTCCATTTGTAACCTGAGATTACAAACAACTTCAAGAACTTTCTAAAAATAATAATAATAATAAAATAGAGAAGTTACTTGATTGTATGTTTCTGTTTATTAGGCAGAAATAATACCACTTAACTGACCTTTTTATTAACATTTATCAATTTCTAACCAATAACCGTGTAGGTGAATTTCAACTTGTTTAGGAAAGAGATGCATGCTGAAATTAATATACGACACATTGGGAGCAGAGCAAATAAAATTCACTATATGTTCTACATACAGCTGAATGTCTACCGACGAAAAGTCGGAGTTTAAATTCATTCAGTAATCAGTTTTCGAAAAGTACCAGCATCGGATTAATAATGCATTTTTTAAACATTTGAGTTAGACATGACATAAACAACGGTCAAGGAGGCAAGCATAAACGCATCATAATACATACCAATGATTGATAGATGCGAGTGGTTAGGAACCAGTAAAGTCAAACAACAGCACCTGCTGGCTAGATTGCAGTGATCTATTTTTTTTTTTTTTTTGATTTACAGCTTGATTCCACACTGTATTTTCGGTACAAGTATGGAATTTTCAGCATGGATATCGGTAGCCCAAATTTCGCAGGCCGACCATAGATATCAGGTGTGCGTCGGTGCGGGCTCGAACCCCGGACCATGTGCATGGTCGGCGAGAGTCCTAACCACTGTGCCACCGACGCATCTAAACACCAGAATATCATTTAGCTTGTTTGGGGTCGAATTTATCAGCCGTCTTCTACTCAGTTCAACTTAGTTCAAACGGTCGAACCACCAAAAACAACTCAAACTCTGACTAGCTACTCGGATGAACTGTTAATACATAGATGCAAACTCGTTATTGCCAAATAATGCAGTTAGAATTGGAGAATTACCATAGATTGCTTTAGAAATCAAAAGCGTTCAGTTGAAATAATGATAATATATAACAATTAGAAAGGAAAGTGTTTTCTGTCACCAAATAACCGTCTGGAGTCACTTGGAGTGTGAAACAGAAAATACGGAAGTCTCCAGTTTAAAATGTAAATCAGCTAAGAAGTCACTGGTTGTTAGCTTATGTGGTGACAATGTCAGAAAAGCCAACAGATAATAAAAGAATAGACTGAAACGTTTAAGGAATAACTAATTTCATCAGAGTAATACTGTCTAGTCATAACTCGATCGATACTACATTAGAGAAATTAGGATAAACTGTCTAATTTTAAGTATGCATGTATATCTACCACATGCAGCCAGCCATATTGGTCACAAAATGTAGCTTGTTCACCACTGGATTTCCGAGTGTCATTCTACATGGTTAGGCAAAAGATACACAGAGTGGATTAACATAGCCATTAGCGTTGTTTGTTGCAAACCTACCAATAGCAATTTCGTCTGACCAATATACATGTACATATGTACGTGTATTTCAGCCAATGACATGAACGCGTAACTAAAGATATAAATATTTCGTCGCTTAATCTTGAAGGGGGGTGGGAATCTTCTCTATATCAGAAGGTAAGAAGCGATAATGTACATTTATGTAGATTTACAACAATTTACATCCTTTTGATTATCTTTCAGTTTTTCTCACCACTTTCTTTGAAGCTAAAAGTTCCAGAGAAATGGCCATAGACCTATATATATATATATATATATATATATATATATATATGGGGTAACAGGTTGTTGACTGCCTGTCAAAGTCCTTCTTTGCTTATTCCTTCTTGCCTGTTATCTGACCTCCAGTAGTATCGAGATAGTAAAGTCAGGTAATGATGAAAGTCTGCAACCCACTGCAAATGCCTTTCATGACATGTACACCAACTCTCTGACATAACCTTTGAGATCAAATTACCGGTGTTATTATATGCGAATACAAGTCCCTAGTTTAGTAATAAAGTATGCATTGTAGACCATCAATTTAATAAATAACTGAAATAATAAATGCTTAAATTAAAAATATATTTATCTTATGATTACTTGTGCATCATATATTTCTTTTAAAAGACGAGCGATTTCATCACTTGTATACACAGCTGATTCATTCTCAGATAAGTGACAATGATAAATGAAGTCATTTTTTATCGTGGCCACTTGAGCTAATAATTGATTCACATCAGGATTATGACAGTCATAGGCGACTAGGTGCAGTCGAGGCAGACTGAGACCAGCCAACATTTGCTCTATATATTGAAGAATGAATGGAGCAGGTTGATCGGGACAACTGCCGCATACTATAATGATCACATCCAGTTGCTTTCTGCCGTACATGATCATCTAAACAACTCAAAAGAAAGTCAGTTATGCATACTAAAAATAATGTTGTCTACATACTTTCCATCCTTAAATCATAATGAAAAAAAAAATAGTTAAGTTACATGCCAAGTTCCAGACAGCCATTTTGTTTTGATTCACAACTCTACCTTAGTACACGCCGATTACTCCGTTGGGCATCGATCCCAAGACTTTCATGTTACGAGGCCTGTACGTAACCAAATTAATTTTTTTGAGACAGAGTCGGTGGTTCGGTGGTATAATACCCACCAGATAAGTGGGAGGTTTGGGATCGATTCCCGGTCGACACGCGCCTAAACCTTGCCTAGCTTACTAGCGCAGTGTGTGTTTCAAATTTAAAGATATTCTGATCAACATTTCAAGCACTTTATTGAAACACAAGGTTAAGTATGGAACAGTCCAACTTCTTGAAATATAATCCTACTTATGTTCATGACTTACTGAACAGCATTCCAGCCTTATCTGTTAGTAATATGCGTCAGCTGTGGTATCTTACTGCTTCAAAACACGAATTTCATTTATTCTTGAGAATAACTTTTATTTGAACCATAAAGTGTACAGTTCTTTGCCACTACTTTCATTCAACTGTTTCTGAAGAAGCACAATAGAATATAAGGTGATTATTATTCGCCCAGTACATAGTTTCAGTGTCCGTAGATTTAGCGTATCACTCCTAGTAAAACAAAAATTGACCTTCTATACAATTCTTCCAGTTAAGTTTGAAAAATTCACAAATAGTGTGAACTGGCTGTCAGATGGGGAACAGTTACAGAGACTTCATTGTATTGTAGGCTCTCAGGTACAAAAACACTTTGCCGACATTACAGTAATTTCACACTAAAAATTACTACGCGCTTTTGTTCGGTTAACTCGAAATTACTTCGTTTCTATCTGATTTGAACCTGTCTTAAAACAGGCTTCGAAACATAATGTAATACTACACATTGGTAACAACAATAAGCTGATGTAAGCAATTTCAATTGCTTATATCAACGAGTAGCACTAATGTAGGAGAAATTTTTTGACTCCCTGGATAAATTTCGATAAAGAAAGGAATAAGAAATTTGCAGTATAAAATTATATCACATTCTATTCATGGGCTACCTCGAACAGACACAGCTGAGCTCTGCCATCAATGGAACAACCTACTATCGCCGATATGCTGATGACACATTTGTTGTTTGCAACGACATGAATCACAAATCGGCATGATATGATCGCCTCAATGAGACCCATCCAAACATCAAATTCACCATGGAATATGAACACAACGACGAAATCAATTTCTTGGACCTAAATGTAAAAAGAAGAAACTATGGAACGGTTGAAAAGTTCATCTACAGAAAAGAAACATGGACTGGACACAATCTTCACTATAACAGCTTTTGTCCCATAAGCTGTAAACGTGGATTAGTGAGGACTTTGTACGGCAGAGCCGGGAAGCTATGTTCACAGAACAAGGTGGAAAAAGAATTAGGTTTCGTTGAGTAGCGTATGAGAGAAAGTGGATACCCTAAGGGGTGCATACAAAAGTAGAGCAGAGAAAAAGATAAGAAAGGGAAACACCCAACTGTAGAAAAGAAAAAAGTGTTTATTTGTCTCCCATTGAAAGGAGATGCAGTGTCACAGAAGATTGACAAAAGACTGAAAATTGCAACAAAAAAAGCTTCCCTACAGCTAAACTCGTAACATTATACAGCACCATTTCTTCTATAATCCACTCGAAACTGGATAAATACCCTGCTGATGTCACCTCAAACTGCGTTTATGAATTTACGTGCACTTGCTCATTGGAAGGAGCGAAAGAAGGGCTTCTATCCTGTTTCTTGAACTTAATGCTAGAAACTTGTGCCTGAAAGGAAGCAAATAATCTCAGAGTGCAATTACCAGACATATTGTTGATACTGGTCATCTCATAGAGATTTCTAAGTCTTTCAAAATATTGAATAGACGAAGGACAGCAAATTTTCTAAGGTTTGCCGAAGCGATCCCAATCAAACGATTTAAACCATACTTTTGCATACAGATAGACAGTGTGATTAATCTCTCACTCCTTTGGTAACTGAATTTTGATTTTGATTACATTAATTAGTTATCTAATTCAGTGATCTAAAATCACTGAGTAAATCTCAATCTTATAAACTGTAACTGCTTTTGTTTTTTGAGTTGCTATGTGAACCTACAAGCTAACACTGTTTGTTGATTTTTTCTGTTTTCTGTCTTACCCCTCCCCTATGTTCTACTGTGAAAGCGTATAAATTGATGATGAAAAATTGAACTAAAAATTGTAATGCTTACATTTTGGATAAGCCAGTTTTATAGTATTTCTTCTCTACTACCACTTAAACATTAAAGTATTTTATTATCATCAATTCCTTTCTTTATCGAAATATTTTGTCACTGTGGTAGAATATAATTCCATATGATAGATAAGTTTACTTGACATAGGGATAAGGCATCACTATCAGGATGATATTTCCGGCACAATTTATTACTCATATTCATATCAGTATGTTCACACAACTCCCTTACTTGTTTCATATAGCTTAACTCTATCATGTTTGTTAATGCAGTTTTCAATATATCATGTGTAGGTGTTCCGTGTATTTGGTGTTGGTTCTATTAACAAATATTGGACAACTAGCCTCTCACTGTATCTAACTATTTTACTTTTTAATACCTTTACTCCATGAAATGATTTGGTGGATGCTGGCCATCAGTAGAATCTAGGATGTGAATTTCATCCCATCTAGGGCTCATCATCTGGATGTACCTACGTTTCCTAGTAAGTGATAGTGTCCCCACTGGGGCTTGAATCCAGTGGCCGTTGTTTCGAAAGTCAAAGCTTTATCTACTAGACCACTTGAGATATGACAGGCACCTCCTGTGAAACGGGTGTCAGTTAGTACTTATCTAATTCACTTTTGATTTTCCCAGTGATTGATTGTAGCGAAATGTTCGAACTCTGTTGACATATCGGCTTCTAGTGCGGATGCTTCAGCGATGTCTGAAGATTAACTTGAAGTAATTTGGTGAATGGTGACTACCAGGGCTATTTTCGGGACCAATTAACCTAGTAGGGTGAATCATTGTATGCCCTTCTAAACTTCTATGTTCTGCAGACCTAAGTGATTGACGTACTAGTCTAAATTATGTAATTCATCTCATAGTCACTCCATGGTATTTGGTGAATTATATTATCTCACTCAGTCAGATCTCTTGGGTCCTTAAGCAGAAAAGGTTTGTCTGTGAGTGAACTGCTTTATACAAGTGCCAGCCTAATTGAGAATCCTACGTAGGATATTTGATGTACTTTCTTGCATATGGTAGCAATATCGAAGCTTTGAATTCTTAGTTATTTTCATTATTTACATTACTATTCCTACTTTTCTTATTGGTGTTGATAAAATTTTGAATGAATTCAAGTGGATAGTCACTCAGGAACAATATTGCTCATTATTTCTTTGCTTCAATAATATTGAATAGTTGGAGGCAATCGACAAGAAGTCTTGAACCTAGGTTTCGTGCTAGTTGGCACTCACAAGTAAACAAGGCGTATCTGCAACCTTGAAGGAATCCATGCGATGGCGAGCCACCTAGAATGGTGGCCACATTGCAAACCTGACTGATAGAATTCAGTCTGCACCGAAGAAAGGATATATCGCAAATTTCTTTGTTTCCTTTATTTAAATTTGTTGCTTCATTAAGGAAACTCTTGTTTTGATTGCATAAACATTTTGTGGTGAGAGCAGGCTGCTAGCCGATAGGTTGGCACTAATCTACGTTAAGGTCTAGGTCACTAATATGGGCCGTGATTTTTTTTTTACAAGGCTGAGTCAACAACCAATCACAGCAAAGTTAACGTGGCAAAATATGATTCGCAGAGAGAACTCTGTTTGTCAAGGAATCCCGAAACAACCAATCAGAAGCCTGCGTTTGTCTACCTAAACAACCAATCAGATGACTGCGCTTGTCTATAATAATGTAGTTGAAATATGTATAAATACGTGTTGATTTTCATAATAAAACGATCTGTTGCCTGGCCCTTGTCTTCTGTTGTTACATTTGGTGTCGCTGCCTACCGACAAATGAAAAGCCTATACCCTGCAGTTTTTGATGGAGACATATGGATCTTCGGGCAGGACTTCAAGGCTTCTGCGCAGTTGAGTGGCGTTCAAGATCTGCCAGCGATGGAGCTGCTACTTGAGACGCTGCTGGGAGGTCGGGTGAAAGCAGCATATGAAGGTGTCGGCCGAAGTATGGACGAATGTTCGACAGGGTCAGGCAAACAGTTTCCAAAGTGGGAAGGACCATATATGGTCACTTCGAGATGGGGTTACGCAGACACAGTCGCAATGGCGAACAATGAGAGGCGCGTGAACGTCAGCGAGCTCCAGAAATGGATACAGCGAGACAAGCCAACGATGACGCCTGCACCAAGTAGATCAAGCCGACTTCAGTCGCACGTATTTGACGGGGGGACGAGTGTGGTGAGAGCAGGCTGCTAGCCGATAGGTTGGCACTAATCTACGTTAAGGTCTAGGTCACTAATATGGGCCGTGATTTTTTTTTTACAAGGCTGAGTCAACAACCAATCACAGCAAAGTTAACGTGGCAAAATATGATTCGCAGAGAGAACTCTGTTTGTCAAGGAATCCCGAAACAACCAATCAGAAGCCTGCGTTTGTCTACCTAAACAACCAATCAGATGACTGCGCTTGTCTATAATAATGTAGTTGAAATATGTATAAATACGTGTTGATTTTCATAATAAAACGATCTGTTGCCTGGCCCTTGTCTTCTGTTGTTACAATTTGACTAAACTCATCTTTATCGACGATTCAAAGACTAAGTATCTATCTTATGAATGCCAGTATATAGATTTCTGTCTAGTTTTCGTTTAATTTTACTATCTAGCATAGCTAATTCCACTTATTCATCTTCTAACGCGAAGTTGAGCGGGATCAACCACTAGTATATATATATATATATATATATATATATATATCAATTTCATGTTTAGGAGGGATAATAGTGTTTGAGGAGAAATCTTGCTAAATCAGAAATATATAAAGATATGTCAAAAAGTGATTGGTAAACTTAACAACGTGAAACTTTATAATACAGTACATAAGTTTACGGCAATCAAACCTCTACCTCAACTTTATAGACTTTGAGAAGACCTTCGACAGTGCAGCGTTGACCGCGAAGTCATTTGGAAACTACTCGAGTACTATGGCGTACCCCAAGTATTCATCAACCCTGTTCAACAGCTGTACGACAACGGAACATGTCAAGTGATCCACAACGGGAAAACCACTCGGTGAGGCGTTTAGAGTAAACACAGGAGTCAGACAAGGCCGATTATTATCACCGATGATATTCCTAATTGTGGCTGACTGACTGGATTATGCGTCAGACAGTGGGAAACGAGAAGACAGGGATATCCTGGACCGACGTGAAGAACCTAGAAGACCTGGATTTCGCGCGTGGATGATTTATGCTTGATGTCACAAAAAGTCGAAGACTTACAACCGAAAACCGACAAACTGGTCGAAGAATCAGGCAGTGAAGACAGGACTCCAGGTAAACATAGACTTGATGGAGGTTATGAAAATAACCAGCCAACCAGCGACAACAACAACAACAGCAACATCCAGCGCCAATCACCATCAACGGGAGGGATTTGAAAGAGGTTAGTGACTTCATTCACTTATCATCTAGGGAGCATTGTCTCAACTACAGGAAGTCGGAACGGACGAGGATGTCAAATCGAGCGAGAATCGGGAAGGCGAGAAATACATTCATCAACCTGAAACCAATCTGGAAATCTTCGTCACCCAGCCACTGTCAACAACAAAATTCGGAAGGATTTTCAATACAAACAACGTCAAGTCAGTCAGTTCTTCTATACGGATCAGAAACTCGGCGGGCGGGTCACAAAGAATATTTCCAACAGCCTGTTGCAGACCTTTATCAACAAATGTCTTCGCTGGCTCTATACTGAAGATCAGATGGCCGGGCCGGAAAGAATCACCAACAAGAAACTATGGGCACTAACAAACAAAACAAGAGCCAATCGCCAGCCAACAGATATCCAGGAGAAAGTGGAGATGGATTGGACACTCACCGAGGAGGCCGGTTGGTGACATCGCGCGCGCGTCAGGCCATTGCTCGAGTGGAACCAGGCCGAAAGGGAAGAGGCGAGTGGGACGTCAGTCCGAGGGTGACATGGAGTAGATCGTATGAAGAGGAGTTGAAAGAGTATGGACTGACATGGATGCAGGTGAAAAGTACAGCAGAAGGAAGACAGAAGTGGCAAGTGGAGACGTGCAGTTGAAGCCCTATGTTCCACTAGGAACCCAAGGGAACAATAATAATACATAAGCTTAGAATGCACACATTTGGAAGAGCGCGGAAAAAACACAGCGAACGAATTCAGTGAAGGTTTAGTGAGAGTGGATGCATAGAAAAGATAATGATCGAATGGTGAGAAGTTTTAGAATCTGTAACATTAAAAGGAACGAAAAGATCTGCGTGATTGTCAATAATTTGAGTGCTGTCACAGACAGATTCCAACCACCGGTGTCTTCAGGCAGAAAATCTAGTGTTATGGATGATCACATGAATAATATTCGCATAACTAAGCACCACAAGTGTATGGCTAACCAGTAAACTTCTTCCAGCAAGGCTTCACGATAACATGAAACCTACTGAAAATGAATTAGTATTAAAATGCTCCATATAATAACCTTCCAGCTACTATATTATATCCACGTATGTGTATTGCTCGAATTCCTCATTTTCAAACTGCTTTACTGATGTGAGATACGAATTTCGAACAGAGAGAATACGAAAAGAATAGAGGTTGCTTACCAAAGGTTAATGACGGCTACATAGTACGAAATGATGACGTCAAGCTAAGGTGTTAGATAAGGAGGTAAAATCAGCTGGTAAGGCCGTAAAGTGCCGTTATTTGAATTGAGCAGAACATGTGCTACGCATAGTGACGTACCATCTTTCTTGATAAGCAATGTTAGCTGAAGTACGATAGAGTTGGATTATACCTTCAAATAGTTATACCGCAGGGCTGAAGCTGTCAACCGTTAGTTTGAGGCCTATATGGAAGTGTAGAATGTCTCCTTAGGATCCAGAGGTTGAAAAATATTTATGATGTCGCTCAAAATTACTGACAGTCGTGCACACGTGTTCAATTTCTGAAATCGTACAGATTCTGAACACTTCCACTGGTCATCTAATTATTTTCTTTCCCATACATCTCCCCCTTGTCAAGCTTTCATTACCTTCACTTGTTCTGCTTTTTTCTGCGCTCTTCTAAAGTGTGATAACTTCAACTGATACAATTCGCGCAAAGTTCTACTATATTTGATTAGTTGTATTTCCAAGTAAACCGAAAGTTACTACAAATTTATGTCTGAATAAGAATCACAGTTTCCTAGGTTACTTTTCAGTTAATTGTAATGAATTTTGGTGGTGAGAAAATGACTACAGGTCGAAAATATAGATGAGTAATTTAACATCAATCACTTTCTTTGAAATTTTAACTCACCTTGGAGATTTTACATAGCTGACAATTTACTTAAATTTATAGTGATATCAAGTGACAATTAAGCATACAGATATTGGCTACATTGTTTATTTTAGGTTAATAGTTTAGTTATTTTTGTCCGAAGATACGCTTGTCATTTTACTTATTTTCATATCGACATATTTTACAAACAGGATGGCAAACAGACCGTCTGATCAAGAAAAATCAACATTAATTAATAAAGTAAGCCTCACATGTTTTATACCAGTCAACAAATTGGATCCACCGGATGGAATCAACTGTTCTTTGATAAAGTATTTCAACTCGTTTATTACACGTGTATTCACATTCATTGGATAAGGCCATAAGGCATTGATTTGTGTTCCATAGCTTGCTACATACAGCGTTTTTATTTTATTTGAATTCAACTGTTCATTTACTAATTCAATTAAGTGTTTTTTTAATTGTTTATCTCTATTAAATCCTAAATTGGCGTCTGAACTGTCTAACAAAAGACCAACATTTTCACCACGAATTAAACCGAATATTTTCCTTGTATCCTAAACATTTTTTTGTAGAAAAATAAATATGAATATATGTATATATGTAGACATAAATTAAGAGTGAATTTAATTTTACCACACTTACTTGATAGAAGACGTAGATAAATAATAATAATGGATGTGATTGTCAGCATTCGAAATATGATTCAATAGTCCTTTTTTTTCACTTCATGAGTTCCGAGTGCAAAGTAAGGCTACACATTTTGAAGTTTCAGTATCGATTGTGTTTTTCATGAGGTGGGAAGGCTAATCTCACTCCCAAGCCTCCCTCTTTTACGGACTTAATGAGATAGGTGAGGTTTAGGAGTGCACTGACCAGGATTCAAACCTGGACCATCTGGGTGGCTGACGTTTATCCTGTTATTAGTCCACCAACGCGGTACACCAGTGCAACTGGAGAATCTTATTAGAATTTAACAATGAATGACGGGAAAATTAATAAGCGATTTAGTGTGAGCGTGCTGGTTTGTTTTACTGAAACGTCTATAACATACATCCTTTATATTTCATAATCCCGTAATTTTGTGGTGTTTGTATGCCTGCTTAAAAAGCCATTTTCTATGATAATTTGGAAAGGCCTCCCTTACTTATCACCCATAAACTCTAAACATACAACACAAAAAATGAAGGACACTGATTATCGTGGTACGGAGTGACTATCAATCTACCCAATAATAATATCCCATTGTTTCAAATATGTTGACATTGCTTAGGTGGACAATATATTCCATGGTTGTGCAGCACTAGTGCAATGTCTTCTTGTCTTTTTGTGTACACAAGTTTAAGTTAAAGCCCTGAAAACTCAATATGGAACTGTGTACTACTATGGTGTCAAAGTTCCACACATATACTAAGAACTTATGTAGCTTATTCGTTGTGAGAAGTGAAGCTTTAAAGCAGGCACCCTAGAATTGCATCAGTTGTCTTCCATCTGGTAAAAATTATTTATATGTTTACATGCAATGCAGTCCACAGAGCGCACACTACTAATCTTTAATCTTGTGTTACCTACCTTGCAGAATTACTGTCATAAGATAGGTGATATTACTCGATTCACTGTCAGATAGCGACATAAGAACAGGCTACTCCTGTAAACGAACAAGTGGATTTTGTGAGAGTCAATCGTAATATCCTTTCCACTTTCCCTTGTTTACTCAACAACCACCTGCACTTGCATGCAGTTTCCAAAGTATCACGTCTATTGTGTGACGGCCAGTTATACTTTCATGTCGGCTTAATTTCGATAAGAGGAGAGGAATGCAAACCCATGACCCAATGGTTGGAAGTCACAACTCTAGACCAATAAAGCACACCTCCACGTCCGTTTTACTGAACTCTCTCCTCCCATATAAAAATCACTAGTGGCTGTTTTAACATGTCAGTGTATTCTAGTGAGTTCAGATATCTCCCAAGTTTACAAATGAAATTACTCTAATACAATATTTGCATTACCACTTACGTTTATTATATTTCGAAACATTATAAACTTATGAAAACAACAGGTGAACAATGGAAAATCCCACACTTCATGAGTTTATATGAGCCGCCTGGGAAGTTAAGCATGTGTGACTTATCTTTTACTAATTAGGTACAAGTGAATATAAAAAAGTACCCTAATTTAAAAATATACCATCCTAATATGGGAAAAATTGTAAAATTTATGAAATATCCACACGGCTATATCAGATTTAGTTTTAAAATCTTTGGATAAACACTGGACTCACTCCAAAAATTGAACCTTTTATTGGATTAGTGAGTTGTGACCAGAAAAGCAGAATTTACCGATTGAGATGAAATCACTTTAAACACCATTAAAACTCAACTTTTAAACCAGAAGCTTCGAATTCTGCTAAGTTTGTTTTAAAGATGCTATAATCAGGGCCCACTTATGATAAATATTTACAACCGAGATATGCACTCAAAATGGTGGGATACTTTTCAGGCTACAGTGCCGAATCTGTAGTTCTGTGAAAATTTAGAAATTATAGAAAAATAATAATTCCACAGTTATGTTGAATCAACTGATATAACGGATAGTGATGTACCATTATTTACTGAAGATTGTCCTCCTAAATTTATCGCTCACTATAGTATAATAGCAATCATCAGAAATAAATTGTGCTTAAAGAACCACCATTATACAATACTAAGCACAAACTGGTTGCTAGATGATAACCACTGTAGCTGTGAAGTTCTCTTTGTGTTGATAGAAATCTTTCGACCAAGCAGACAGTCGAGTACACTAAGTAAACGGCTCGACACTAAAAACTGTAGAGTACCTTTCTTTGAGCGTCATGTATTAGAAATTCCTGCTGACTTAGAGAACTCAGTGTCAAAACAAGCAATGCTGTTCCTCGATAATAAATTATAATCAATTAGTCCATTTCTTTTGTCAGTCTTTTAGTTTCAAAAACTGATCGTCTAAAACGTTCGTCTGAAATCCTACTCTATACCGCTACAGTAGATGAATTACCAGTGCATACAGTTATTACATGAAAACCATTATCACTCAGTATTCGTTGTCACTAAACAAAACGTTTGCCCTTTACTAAATGATTTCGCCATTTCAAGAAACTCCGAAACTCAAATGCAGAAAGAATTAACATAACTATTTTTAATAAAGAAAACTCACTTGCATTAACCACCTAACTCGATTGGTGTAAGAATAAATGGATTCGTGGAGACCACATTCAAATTCATTAACTTCCTTTAAGTCATATTCAAGATGTGATGGGGGATCTTGTTTAAACTCAGCAACAATTTGATCCATTGTTGCAGTCGGATTTTCTTTTTGTTTAAATCAAACAGTTAGGAGATTAGTGAATATTTAATTGAATTTACCATTAAATTTTCTCATCCTACTCTCCGAAATTCTACCCATTGCAACAAAATCATTGATTGTCAGGTGTTTAGCTTTCAGACCATAATTCTCCAACCATTCAACTGTAGACTGTTTAACTGTCTCTTCAGCACGAATACGTTTACTTCGGACGTTATTGAGAGCATGTTGATGATGCAGTTTTGTTTGCATGAATTCATCAGACAATGAAGTAAATGCACATGACTTATGGTTTGGTTTTGAAACATCTGAATTCCATTTAGGTTTTCTTGCCACAGAGACAGTGTTCGGTATGGTATCTTTGCTAAGATTTGCCCGGTCGTGGAGGAATAAGTTGAGTGCTTCGATCTGTAAAAGTAGCCATTTGATGCATTGGTTCAATGATTTAAATAAAAAGTACATCGTGCCTGTGAGAAATAACTTATCTACGTCTAACAGAGGATGTGAGAAAATAAATGTCTAATGCTGGCTTTATAATGTTGCAGAAATGACTATTTACTCAAAAAAGTGACATTTTTTATATCTATTTATTCAAAACACTTCCTAAATTGTCGCTAGAAGCATTGCAAGGAGACCAACAGAACTAAGCTGTTAAACAGCGTACAGATATTTAATATGAAGTGCGTGGGAATCATTTATTTGGATGATGAAAAACACCGAGTTATATCACTTGTGACTTGATAGGAATTTTTTTGCTTTTTTCGTAGTTTGAATGTGAGTAGACTTATTGAGCTCTACTGATGAAATAAATAGCCTTTACATACTTGAAGGTACTGAGCTATACAAATAATCATTTTCCAAAACCCCACGAAAAGAACGGAATTGTCAGTCAGATTTTGAAACAGCTGTCTAAGAACATAATTTTGACAAAGTTACAATGTGTAGTTTAGGTTAGTTAACCCTCACCATAATTAAGTCAGTGAGGTCATGATGTTGCCTCACCAGACTGTAATACATTTATTTATTTAACAGATCGGCTTACTTAGGGTAAACTAAAATCAATCATATCTGACAATAGAGGTGATGAGGATATGATGGTCATCAATAGTCAATTGAATGTACATTTGAAAATAACAGAATTTCGCTTTCTTAATAACTGTCTGGACATATGATGTGACAATATCCCTAATTCACCCACCTACGAAACACGAACTTCTAATTAAAATTGCCCTGACCATCAAATTCAAATGACAATAATAATTATCAGGATAACAGACTGTTTGAAGAAATCCAAACAACCCTCCGCATAATGCAATAAACAGGCAAATACAGCTTTAAGAGGAACATCTTGAGTAAAGTTAGAGCGAAAATGGTGAAGAAGAGCTACTACTATTCCCAAAGGATCTGCTTCATAAACTTTTATTTCACGGGAAATAAAGTTAATGGCAACATAAGAAGAGTAAAGACATATTAAAACTTTGCCTGTGTCCCGAATGGATGCATATAACTTATGAATTTACGATATTAATAAATTACTTTCGTTTCTTCGACGCTCTCTTCAAACTTGCTCTGAAATCTCTCTCTTTGATACTAACCTACTTTCCTAACTTTCCACTAGAAGACGCTAGAAAACACATACATTAGGGAATTGAAATCACGAAAATGTTCGCGATCATGCTATGAAAGCTTCTCATTGCCTATGAAACAGATGGTTAGCAGTTCTTTGCATGTTACCGGTGATATAATGGTGAACTACTAGCTAATAACTGATTCTTCTCTGGCATAACAGTGGATATTTCTGCGCAGTCTTCAAGAATTATTCACTATGGAAAAGTTATTCTTCGAAATCCTTTTAAAATTTTGATACACGTTTCGTAGGGACGGGTTATAAAAACACTAAAACTTTCCGTAAGTAGCAGATGACGTTACATTATTCTCATACACATGTTTACATCAACACACACCAAGTTACACGTTACTTTGTGTAGTATGGATGGTAACAGATGAGAGACGAGAGTCTATACGGAAGAGGAAACAGGAGGTAAGCGTTTATCTTTAAACATACCTAGCTAAGTGTATTCAACAATCAAAAAGGTAGATTTATGAAAAAAGATAGCTGGCATTAAAACATTACAGAAAACATTTCACAGCAATCGAAAAATTCTCTCAGATTTTGGTGAACAAAAAACTAACCTGAATTTCTGACATTGGCTATGTAGTCTAACAGACGGACCAACTTAATAAGTATAAAATCAATCTGCAAGAGTGGAAATCTTCGGGTTTTCAGTGTTGATTAAGTATCTAAAAATACAAATTCATAATTATTACCATAATTCATCAAATATCAACAATTCTAACAGTTCCGATTACACTTGAATGATTTATTCTTTCGTATATACACGAAATTACATAATTTGAAACTGGACGACTTAAAGTTTAGAACGACCATAAGACGCATCCAGACACATGCAGTACAAAGGTTAACATCCTATTTAACACTGACATTTAAAATTTTTTAACTGTACGTACAGATTTTTCAAAAGAAATCTACCTCAATGGGAACAAGATCTGATTACACCAAATAACAGCCAGAAGGATGGATCCATCTACTTCCTGAATTTTCATTATGTAGTTTGGTGGGATTAAGATTAGCTACTAAACATGATGGCTAATATTTTAACCACAAACACGTTGAGTGCATGGATATCTATTTTTCAACTGACTTATGCTTAATATCATAAACACCGTTTGTCTTCCATACGTGACTCCATTATATAAATATAGTTGATCATCAAACAGAAGAATATTCTATTGCATCTTCAAAAATTTGAAAAATTATAAAGATAGTCTGAAAACTATTTTCAACCGAAGATTAATAACAACTAAAGTCTGACACTATATATATACAATAAATATATACGGCATATATACCGTGTATAATAGACAATATACAGGGTAAATTGCGTCGACTGAACTAAATTAATAAGTGCTTCATATGATGAGCTTATGAAGTGACGAACTTTCAAGCAGACGATATGTCAGTTTTATTGTCAAATTTAGATTATCACATGTATTAATGCATGCATTAACCGACTGGGCACTGACAGTATGAGGCACGTTGTCAGTGGATTAAGGTATCTGTGAATAAATGTGACTAAACTTTAGTTCACGAAAAGTGTACGTATTATAGCTGCCTGTTAACATGTCTCATATCGATTGCCGAAATATCTTTTCTGCAGGAGTTTCAAGAAGCCCATGATTTTGCAATTTACATGCAACTAACCATTGCTTCATTTAAACAAATACCGAACATATCGTCAAATTCAGGTTGCCATTTCTCATGAGAACATAAAATTTGTGGCCCAACACATGCACTTCTATTAGGCGACTTGTATTTTATATTCCTTTTTCTAATCAACATGTCAGCTGAAGGATTAAGCCTTTCCATCAAAGCAGACCCAGTATGCTTCAGACGATATAGTTTGACCTGCATGATGGTAACGAAGACAGAAGACTGATCAAATCACTATTCATTTCTTTCATTTCTCACATAGCAATTAGTTCTACTGTCTGCTACTGAGACTCACTCTGAATGACCGACATATATATCAAGACAGATTTGGCAGGTTTAGATTTGTCCTTGGGCTTGACTCAGCCTTTATTTGCCAATAAATTTGTCAGATATAAGGTTTTCCCCTTGAATTCGGGCTGCACGTTTGATCAAAGGTTTCGTTTTATAAATAATCGGTGGTAGTCTTTTGATTATCTAAAATGCGAATAAAACTTATAGGTTTGAACTCTGAGAAGCATTTCCTAGGTTCGCATCTGTGACCAAGGCTTTCGATCGAGTCCCTCAGGCAAATGGTAACACTTCTGTGAAACAGAAAAAGCCTCAAACAGCCGTCATTTAGTCGCTAGTGTGAGCTGTCAGATCCTTGAGGAACCTTGATTGAAGTTCATCGGGTCGCAGTGAATTCAGTGTACCTAGTTTTCTAGAGAAACGGTGTGGGATTTATCCGTCCGCTTCAAAAAAATATAAGCAGGTATTTGTGAAGAGATCAAATCTGAAAGCGCTTATTATCTTGGCTACAATGTGAAGATCTTGACGAAAATGTTTGTTAGTGTTTCTACTTATTCCTTACCTTTGATAGTGTCAGTGAATAAACTGTGGCCCTATGAGACGTCTTGTCCTAAAGGTTTGTGGATGAAGCTAATCTCAGAATGAGTAAACATGTTTCAGTAATGACAGGGATGTTTCATTGAAAACAATGTTTTTTGTCGTTCGTGACAGTCAGTAGAGGCATATAGCTGGGTAATTATTTTTATGCTTGAGTTTACACTATGCAGCTTACTTACCGGCTTGAAGATATTCGAGGCAGTCCTCTGATGAGTGTGCAAACACAGCAGTATTGATAATGGTTTTCAATGCTTCTACTGCGGAAATGCGCTGGCTTGGAATACTGCAGCAATCATCGACTCGAAGGAGACCATTACATAACCGCTATTTCCTGGTTGTTGGAACGTACTCATCGAAGTTCACATCCCCATCATGAGAAAAAAACATGATGAAGACTGAGAGAGGATAATAAGCTAGCACCAATGTGTCTAAATCAGTGGCTTATATGAGCCAACCTTTAATCTAACTTTCCAAGTATTCTCTAGATCAAGTTAAGCCATTAAATACAGTCCATGTCCTATAACTTCAGTAGCCAACCAAAACTCTCTAACACATCACATGCACTTATTAAATGGAATACACCCACCAAGCACAAAACTTAGTGTGTTAATCTACCGCAACGTTAAAGAGTATTTCATGTCAACCAACAATAATAATAATTTATAATTTCATATAAACATATATGTACATGAAAATTCATGCCATTTAACAGGCACGATCAAGTATGGTATAATGTCAAATCCAAGATTTTCTGCAAGTTAATAATATTTTAACAGTTAAATGTTTGATGTATATATATATATATATATATATATATATATAATTACACTCATTGTCTGAACCAGGCCGTATAATTATTGAATTGTACAGTTGTCCTCCAGGTTGAGCGGGTAAACTGACTTCGTTTCGTTTTCATCCCGTGGTTGTAGGCATACGATAACCAACCAATATTGAGGTAAGTACAACGTTTACAAGGGGTTGGAAGCTGTTTTAGAAAAGTTAAAGTGCTTAGGTGAATCATTAAAGTGTAATAAATTAAGTAAGTGCAATATATCATATATAAATACATTTATATAGGATACAGAACAGGGAAGTAATTAATCCTTAGGCTGACAACGTTCATTTGCAATGTATAATAATACCCATATACTTCGTACTATCATGATGTCCACTTTTGACTTTAATACAATTATTTTCAAGCCAGCTGTTTTTATTTCATGCCTTTTTGTCTATTTGGTGCACAATCGTACCCTACAGAGAATAGGAATGGAACAAGTCGAATCAAATTCATGAAGAGCTATAAAATGTTAGGTTTAATGGAATGTAATGAGGATCAAGTAAAATAAATGAGATAAGACATTGTGAAGTGGTATTTAAAGATCCGACAATGGACAGCAAGTTAGTTTATAAGATGCCCCATAAATCTGTGCAGATCCCGCGTGGTCGCGTCTCAACAATAGGCTGAGCGAATGGTATATATTTAAAGGTAGAAGCATGATCTGTCAAGGCGTTCATTATTATCTTTTTCAAGATAAAGATCTAAGCCCTCATAAAAATCAGAAATATCTCGAGCCTTTAATTTGTATATTGCTGTTCCTGCAGAATGGGGTGATTCACCTTAGTGACCCCCACCATATCTACTGATCAGCTAACGCCACCCTCCCTCCTTTTTTGATGTTAAGCTCTGAGACTATGATTATTATGGTTACCGCAAGTATATTGCTTTGTACCAAACATGTTCGTACCTCATAATCCATCTCCCTAGCTTTCTTAATGAGTGCTTCCAATAGGTCTCCGCATACATCTTTATGAACATTATATATGTATGCATGCGTCCTAATGAACAGATTACTTTACAAGAAGTTAGAACCTTAAAGAATAAAAAGAATAGGTTTTGTGAATAGTGGAGCAGGATTCAGCAGAACACTATAGTTGGTTCAATGTAGGTAGTATGAACTGAAGGTAAGGTCGGTTGGCAGGACTTAGTGTACTAAATTATCATGACAGTCTTATATATAATAAACATCTGACATAGCAATGTAACGTGTCTAAGCATATTATAAAAGATATTAACACAGAACCAACAAAATTTTAGCATTTGGTTAACAATACTGCAGTGTGTGTGTACTGAAGGATGGTAGTTAGTCTACAGGGAGCCGTAAAGTAAATCGATCTATATATGACAAGAGTATAATCGATATTATAATTCGTATTATCGAAGAATACACTAGGCTAAATAATTGAGTGTTATAAGGGAAACAAGCGTGGTAAAGCAAGAGAACATTTGCTGCATAAATATTTTAAGTAATTTAATAACCATCTAATTTAAGAATTGAACATGCATGATTAATAAGTATTATTATATTAGTATATACATATGTAAAGTGTTAAAAGGTGTGGATGCTATTATAATTATTTCCAGTGTTACTTTTACCAACACGACTTAGTGAAAATTATGGAGAATAGAAATCAGAAGAACCCCTGACACCTAGCTCCCCTGAGTGTCGTGTCATATTTAGTACTTCCATTAATCAAAATGACGAGATGAGGTGTTCGTAGGTGCCACCGGCCGTGTCAGCGACTTCGGACTCCTAAAAAATCATTGTTCCTGGATGTACTGGTAGTGTGGTGAGAGCAGGCTGCTAGCCGATTGGTTGGCACTAATCTACGTTAAGGTCTAGGTCACTAATATGGGCCGTGAGAAAATATGAACAAGCCTGAGTCAACAACCAATCACAGCAAAGTTAACGTGGCAGAATATGATTCGCAGAGAGAACTCTATTTGTCAAGGAATCCCGAAACAACCAATCAGAAGCCTGCGTTTGTCTACCTAAACAACCAATCAGATGACTGCGCTTGTCTATAATAATGTAGTTGAAATATGTATAAATACGTGTTGATTTTCATAATAAAACGATCTGTTGCCTGGCCCTTGTCTTCTGTTGTTACATTTGGTGTCGCTGCCTACCGACAAATGAAAAGCCTATACCCTGCAGTTTTTGATGGAGACATATGGATCTTCGGGCAGGACTTCAAGGCTTCTGCGCAGTTGAGTGGCGTTCAAGATCTGCCAGCGATGGAGCTGCTACTTGAGACGCTGCTGGGAGGTCGGGTGAAAGCAGCATATGAAGGTGTCGGCCGAAGTATGGACGAATGTTCGACAGGGTCAGGCAAACAGTTTCCAAAGTGGGAAGGACCATATATGGTCACTTCGAGATGGGGTTACGCAGACACAGTCGCAATGGCGAACAATGAGAGGCGCGTGAACGTCAGCGAGCTCCAGAAATGGATACAGCGAGACAAGCCAACGATGACGCCTGCACCAAGTAGATCAAGCCGACTTCAGTCGCACGTATTTGACGGGGGGACGAGTGTGGTGAGAGCAGGCTGCTAGCCGATTGGTTGGCACTAATCTACGTTAAGGTCTAGGTCACTAATATGGGCCGTGAGAAAATATGAACAAGCCTGAGTCAACAACCAATCACAGCAAAGTTAACGTGGCAGAATATGATTCGCAGAGAGAACTCTATTTGTCAAGGAATCCCGAAACAACCAATCAGAAGCCTGCGTTTGTCTACCTAAACAACCAATCAGATGACTGCGCTTGTCTATAATAATGTTGTTGAAATATGTATAAATACGTGTTGATTTTCATAATAAAACGATCTGTTGCCTGGCCCTTGTCTTCTGTTGTTACAGTAGTAGATGTTGAGGCTGGGCTGTGGTTTGTGAGACACTTCATCGTGAGATCTACGCGCCAACCCGTTATTTAGCACACAGTTAGGTGTAATGTTGTCGGTTCCCCGGCGAAAAAATATTCTGGATATAGTATCTTCTGGTCCAGGACTGCGGGATTTTTGAAGCTTAAGTATCCAGAGGGCGGGGTATGCTGAAGGCCATCACTCATATATAAACATATACTTCGAAAGAGTTTCTTTGTATCTAGCGTTGACACGCTTGTTCTCGACATTTTTGTTGAATACAAAGCATTCTTCTGCCCCATTAGACTAAGTCCTGAAAACCTTTTCATCTTAGAATAGCAAAAAGCAAGACATGGAAACGAACGTATATTTTCAATTGGTCACATCGCTGTTTATACATATTTGTGGGATGGCTAGACTAAGTCAACTTTAAACGAAATCGTTTTCAGTCTTATGGCTTATCAGCCACGCCACAACAGTTCAAGATCTTGTTTTTGGTAGTTTTTGGAATCAGTGAGTGAGAATATTGTAAACTATTGCTTGATTAGATGAGGATATGTGCTTCAACACTTTGATAGCCAAGTAGTCAATGAGGTTTTTCTCTTGATATATGTTATCCTGAAACAGTTTTGAGTGTTTCTCAAAGAGGAGGGTTAGTGAGTCCAAATCCGCAAGCGTTTTATGAATTACATCCAGTAGAGACTCAGCCAGGTATTTAATACTATATTAGAGGCTGGTAAGGTAGTATTAAGTTTGAGCTGTTATCTAAAATAATCGTGTTTCTACGAACAAGCATTCAATAAATCTGCCCCGTAAATTTCAAGGATTATGTATATGGGAATGCCAGCGAAGAAACATCCAAAAATGTCACCAGTTCCGAAAATACCGTGACAACTGTGTGCAGAACTCAAAGTATGACACTCACGATATTGAGTTTGTCTATCCAAACATTTATTAGTATTATTGCTCCTTTGAGCTCCAAGTGGAACATAGGGCTTCAACTGCACGTCTCCACTTGCCACTTCTGTCTTCCTTCTGCTGTACTTTTCACCTGCATCCATGTTAGTCCATACTCTTTCAACTCCTCTTCACACGATCTACTCCATGTCACCCTCGGACTGACGTCCCACTCGCCTCTTCCCTTTCGGCCTGGTTCCACTCGAGCAATGGCCTGACGTGCGCGCGATGTCACCAACCGGCCTCCTCGGTGAGTGTCCAATCCATCTCCACTTTCTCCTGGATATCTGTTGGCTGGCGATTGGCTCTTGTTTTGTTTGTTAGTGCCCATAGTTTCTTGTTGGTGATTCTTTCCGGCCCGGCCATCTGATCGTCAGTATAGAGCCAGCGAAGACATTTGTTGATAAAGGTCTGCAACAGGCTGTTGGAAATATTCTTTGTGACCCGCCCGCCGAGTTTCTGATCCGTATAGAAGAACTGACTGACTTGACGTTGTTTGTATTGAAAATCCTTCCGAATTTTGTTGTTGACAGTGGCTGAGTGACGAAGATTTCCAGATTGGTTTCAGGTTGATGAATGTATTTCTCGCCTTCCCGACTCTCGCTCGATTTGACATCCTCGTTCGTTCCGACTTCCTGTAGTTGAGACAATGCTCCCTAGATGATAAGTGAATGAAGTCACTAACCTCTTTCAAATCCCTCCCGTTGATGGTGATTGGCGCTGGATGTTGCTGTTGTTGTTGTTGTTGTCGTTGGTTGGCTGGTTATTTTCATAACCTCCATCAAGTCTATGTTTACCTGGAGTCCTGTCTTCACTGCCTGATTCTTCGACCAGTTTGTCGGTTTTCGGTTGTAAGTCTTCGACTTTTTGTGACATCAAGCATAAATCATCCACGCGCGAAATCCAGGTCTTCTAGGTTCTTCACGTCGGTCCAGGATATCCCTGTCTTCTCGTTTCCCACTGTCTGACGCATAATCCAGTCAGTCAGCCACAATTAGGAATATCATCGGTGATAATAATCGGCCTTGTCTGACTCCTGTGTTTACTCCAAACGCCTTGCTGAGTCTTCCGTTGTGGATCACTTGGCAGGTGCCGTTGTCGTACAGCTGTTGAACAGGGTTGATGAATATTTGGGGTACGCCATAGTACTCGAGTAGTTTCCAAATGACTTCGCGGTCAACGCTGCACTGTCGAAGGTCTTCTCAAAGTCTATAAAGTTGAGGTAGAGGTTTGATTGGCATTCCATGCTTCGTTCTGTGATGATGATGCGTAGAGTTGCAATTTGGTCAGACCAAGATTTGCCCTTCCTGAATCCAGCTTGTTCTGGTTGGAGTTCTGTCTCCAGTGCGTCCTTTATTCTCTCGAGGGTGATGCAACTCAGGATTTGACTTGGCGTCGACAGGAGCATGATTCCTCGCCAGTTCGTGCAGAGTGGGGCGTAAGTTGCTTTTCTTTGGTAATTTCACTAGGTAATCTTTCCTCCAGTCAGTAGCCAGCCTTCCCTCCTTCCAGACCTTTTGCAGTAATGGAGTCAGCATATTCGCTGTAGTCTCTGGGTCCGATTTCAGTGCTTCAGGGGATATTCCGTCTGGTCCAGCTGCTTTCCCAGCTTTCAGAACCTTGATTGCATTCAAGACTCCAGCTCTCGTTGGAGGATTGGTGTCAACTCGCAGTTGTGTACGTGCTGTTGTTGGTATTTTTGGACGCGTTGCAGGTGGTGGTCAGTCCAAGGATCCTTTCAAATGATCCCCCCATTGTTTAATCTGTTTTTCTTCCTTGGTAATTGGGTTCCCTCGGCTGTCTTTTATAGGTTTCACTTGTGTTGTTCTCTTCCCGGATAGAGATTTGGTTATCTGATGTAGTTTCCTCAGGTCTCTTTTGCCTGCTGCCTTCTCAGGTCAGTGGCCAGGTTGTCGTAGAATTGTCTTTTGTCCTTCCTAGCACTCTCCTTCACTTCTTTGTCCAGTACTTTGTACGTTGAGCTCAGCGTCTCCTTCTCTCGTCCGTCTTTGCATTGAATCATTTTCTCTTTCGCCATTCTTCTCTCCTCTATTAGCTTCCAAGTGTCCGTTGAGAGCCATTCCTTGTCTTGTCTCTTCTTTCTTCCTAGAACCGTTGAACACGTTTCGTTGAGAATCGCCTTTAGAGACTTCCAATCTTCTTCCACTCATGATTCTTCAGTGCTGTCGCGTAGTGTTTCCTGCTTTGCTTCTCAGAGTTCAAACCTATAAGTTTTATTCGCATTTTAGATAATCAAAAGACTACCACCGATTATTTATAAAACGAAACCTTTGATCAAACGTGCAGCCCGAATTCAAGGGGAAAACCTTATATCTGACAAATTTATTGGCAAATAAAGGCTGAGTCAAGCCCAAGGACAAATCTAAACCTGCCAAATCTGTCTTGATATATATGTCGGTCATTCAGAGTGAGTCTCAGTAGCAGACAGTAGAACTAATTGCTATGTGAGAAATGAAAGAAATGAATAGTGATTTGATCAGTCTTCTGTCTTCGTTACCATCATGCAGGTCAAACTATATCGTCTGAAGCATACTGGGTCTGCTTTGATGGAAAGGCTTAATCCTTAAGCTGACATGTTGATTAGAAAAAGGAATATAAAATACAAGTCGCCTAATAGAAGTGCATGTGTTGGGCCACAAATTTTATGTTCTCATGAGAAATGGCAACCTGAATTTGACGATATGTTCGGTATTTGTTTAAATGAAGCAATGGTTAGTTGCATGTAAATTGCAAAATCATGGGCTTCTTGAAACTCCTGCAGAAAAGATATTTCGGCAATCGATATGAGACATGTTAACAGGCAGCTATAATACGTACACTTTTCGTGAACTAAAGTTTAGTCACATTTATTCACAGATACCTTAATCCACTGACAACGTGCCTCATACTGTCAGTGCCCAGTCGGTTAATGCATGCATTAATACATGTGATAATCTAAATTTGACAATAAAACTGACATATCGTCTGCTTGAAAGTTCGTCACTTCATAAGCTCATCATATGAAGCACTTATTAATTTAGTTCAGTCGACGCAATTTACCCTGTATATTGTCTATTATACACGGTATATATGCCGTATATATTTATTGTATATATATAGTGTCAGACTTTAGTTGTTATTAATCTTCGGTTGAAAATAGTTTTCAGACTATCTTTATAATTTTTCAAATTTTTGAAGATGCAATAGAATATTCTTCTGTTTGATGATCAACTATATTTATATAATGGAGTCACGTATGGAAGACAAACGGTGTTTATGATATTAAGCATAAGTCAGTTGAAAAATAGATATCCATGCACTCAACGTGTTTGTGGTTAAAATATTAGCCATCATGTTTAGTAGCTAATCTTAATCCCACCAAACTACATAATGAAAATTCAGGAAGTAGATGGATCCATCCTTCTGGCTGTTATTTGGTGTAATCAGATCTTGTTCCCATTGAGGTAGATTTCTTTTGAAAAATCTGTACGTACAGTTAAAAAATTTTAAATGTCAGTGTTAAATAGGATGTTAACCTTTGTACTGCATGTGTCTGGATGCGTCTTATGGTCGTTCTAAACTTTAAGTCGTCCAGTTTCAAATTATGTAATTTCGTGTATATACGAAAGAATAAATCATTCAAGTGTAATCGGAACTGTTAGAATTGTTGATATTTGATGAATTATGGTAATAATTATGAATTTGTATTTTTAGATACTTAATCAACACTGAAAACCCGAAGATTTCCACTCTTGCAGATTGATTTTATACTTATTAAGTTGGTCCGTCTGTTAGACTACATAGCCAATGTCAGAAATTCAGGTTAGTTTTTTGTTCACCAAAATCTGAGAGAATTTTTCGATTGCTGTGAAATGTTTTCTGTAATGTTTTAATGCCAGCTATCTTTTTTCATAAATCTACCTTTTTGATTGTTGAATACACTTAGCTAGGTATGTTTAAAGATAAACGCTTACCTCCTGTTTCCTCTTCCGTATAGACTCTCGTCTCTCATCTGTTACCATCCATACTACACAAAGTAACGTGTAACTTGGTGTGTGTTGATGTAAACATGTGTATGAGAATAATGTAACGTCATCTGCTACTTACGGAAAGTTTTAGTGTTTTTATAACCCGTCCCTACGAAACGTGTATCAAAATTTTAAAAGGATTTCGAAGAATAACTTTTCCATAGTGAATAATTCTTGAAGACTGCGCAGAAATATCCACTGTTATGCCAGAGAAGAATCAGTTATTAGCTAGTAGTTCACCATTATATCACCGGTAACATGCAAAGAACTGCTAACCATCTGTTTCATAGGCAATGAGAAGCTTTCATAGCATGATCGCGAACATTTTCGTGATTTCAATTCCCTAATGTATGTGTTTTCTAGCGTCTTCTAGTGGAAAGTTAGGAAAGTAGGTTAGTATCAAAGAGAGAGATTTCAGAGCAAGTTTGAAGAGAGCGTCGAAGAAACGAAAGTAATTTATTAATATCGTAAATTCATAAGTTATATGCATCCATTCGGGACACAGGCAAAGTTTTAATATGTCTTTACTCTTCTTATGTTGCCATTAACTGTATTTCCCGTGAAATAAAAGTTTATGAAGCAGATCCTTTGGGAATAGTAGTAGCTCTTCTTCACCATTTTCGCTCTAACTTTACTCAAGATGTTCCTCTTAAAGCTGTATTTGCCTGTTTATTGCATTATGCGGAGGGTTGTTTGGATTTCTTCAAACAGTCTGTTATCCTGATAATTATTATTGTCATTTGAATTTGATGGTCAGGGCAATTTTAATTAGAAGTTCGTGTTTCGTAGGTGGGTGAATTAGGGATATTGTCACATCATATGTCCAGACAGTTATTAAGAAAGCGAAATTCTGTTATTTTCAAATGTACATTCAATTGACTATTGATGACCATCATATCCTCATCACCTCTATTGTCAGATATGATTGATTTTAGTTTACCCTAAGTAAGCCGATCTGTTAAATAAATAAATGTATTACAGTCTGGTGAGGCAACATCATGACCTCACTGACTTAATTATGGTGAGGGTTAACTAACCTAAACTACACATTGTAACTTTGTCAAAATTATGTTCTTAGACAGCTGTTTCAAAATCTGACTGACAATTCCGTTCTTTTCGTGGGGTTTTGGAAAATGATTATTTGTATAGCTCAGTACCTTCAAGTATGTAAAGGCTATTTATTTCATCAGTAGAGCTCAATAAGTCTACTCACATTCAAACTACGAAAAAAGCAAAAAAATTCCTATCAAGTCACAAGTGATATAACTCGGTGTTTTTCATCATCCAAATAAATGATTCCCACGCACTTCATATTAAATATCTGTACGCTGTTTAACAGCTTAGTTCTGTTGGTCTCCTTGCAATGCTTCTAGCGACAATTTAGGAAGTGTTTTGAATAAACAGATATAAAAAATGTCACTTTTTTGAGTAAATAGTCATTTCTGCAACATTATAAAGCCAGCATTAGACATTTATTTTCTCACATCCTCTGTTAGACGTAGATAGGTTATTTCTTACAGGCACGATGTACTTTTTATTTAAATCATTGAACCAATGCATCAAATGGCTACTTTTACAGATCGAAGCACTCAACTTATTCCTCCACGACCGGGCAAATCTTAGCAAAGATACCATACCGAACACTGTCTCTGTGGCAAGAAAACCTAAATGGAATTCAGATGTTTCAAAACCAAACCATAAGTCATGTGCATTTACTTCATTGTCTGATGAATTCATGCAAACAAAACTGCATCATCAACATGCTCTCAATAACGTCCGAAGTAAACGTATTCGTGCTGAAGAGACAGTTAAACAGTCTACAGTTGAATGGTTGGAGAATTATGGTCTGAAAGCTAAACACCTGACAATCAATGATTTTGTTGCAATAGGTAGAATTTCGGAGAGTAGGATGAGAAAATTTAATGGTAAATTCAATTAAATATTCACTAATCTCCTAACTGTTTGATTTAAACAAAAAGAAAATCCGACTGCAACAATGGATCAAATTGTTGCTGAGTTTAAACAAGATCCCCCATCACATCTTGAATATGACTTAAAGGAAGTTAATGAATTTGAATGTGGTCTCCACGAATCCATTTATTCTTACACCAATCGAGTTAGGTGGTTAATGCAAGTGAGTTTTCTTTATTAAAAATAGTTATGTTAATTCTTTCTGCATTTGAGTTTCGGAGTTTCTTGAAATGGCGAAATCATTTAGTAAAGGGCAAACGTTTTGTTTAGTGACAACGAATACTGAGTGATAATGGTTTTCATGTAATAACTGTATGCACTGGTAATTCATCTACTGTAGCGGTATAGAGTAGGATTTCAGACGAACGTTTTAGACGATCAGTTTTTGAAACTAAAAGACTGACAAAAGAAATGGACTAATTGATTATAATTTATTATCGAGGAACAGCATTGCTTGTTTTGACACTGAGTTCTCTAAGTCAGCAGGAATTTCTAATACATGACGCTCAAAGAAAGGTACTCTACAGTTTTTAGTGTCGAGCCGTTTACTTAGTGTACTCGACTGTCTGCTTGGTCGAAAGATTTCTATCAACACAAAGAGAACTTCACAGCTACAGTGGTTATCATCTAGCAACCAGTTTGTGCTTAGTATTGTATAATGGTGGTTCTTTAAGCACAATTTATTTCTGATGATTGCTATTATACTATAGTGAGCGATAAATTTAGGAGGACAATCTTCAGTAAATAATGGTACATCACTATCCGTTATATCAGTTGATTCAACATAACTGTGGAATTATTATTTTTCTATAATTTCTAAATTTTCACAGAACTACAGATTCGGCACTGTAGCCTGAAAAGTATCCCACCATTTTGAGTGCATATCTCGGTTGTAAATATTTATCATAAGTGGGCCCTGATTATAGCATCTTTAAAACAAACTTAGCAGAATTCGAAGCTTCTGGTTTAAAAGTTGAGTTTTAATGGTGTTTAAAGTGATTTCATCTCAATCGGTAAATTCTGCTTTTCTGGTCACAACTCACTAATCCAATAAAAGGTTCAATTTTTGGAGTGAGTCCAGTGTTTATCCAAAGATTTTAAAACTAAATCTGATATAGCCGTGTGGATATTTCATAAATTTTACAATTTTTCCCATATTAGGATGGTATATTTTTAAATTAGGGTACTTTTTTATATTCACTTGTACCTAATTAGTAAAAGATAAGTCACACATGCTTAACTTCCCAGGCGGCTCATATAAACTCATGAAGTGTGGGATTTTCCATTGTTCACCTGTTGTTTTCATAAGTTTATAATGTTTCGAAATATAATAAACGTAAGTGGTAATGCAAATATTGTATTAGAGTAATTTCATTTGTAAACTTGGGAGATATCTGAACTCACTAGAATACACTGACATGTTAAAACAGCCACTAGTGATTTTTATATGGGAGGAGAGAGTTCAGTAAAACGGACGTGGAGGTGTGCTTTATTGGTCTAGAGTTGTGACTTCCAACCATTGGGTCATGGGTTTGCATTCCTCTCCTCTTATCGAAATTAAGCCGACATGAAAGTATAACTGGCCGTCACACAATAGACGTGATACTTTGGAAACTGCATGCAAGTGCAGGTGGTTGTTGAGTAAACAAGGGAAAGTGGAAAGGATATTACGATTGACTCTCACAAAATCCACTTGTTCGTTTACAGGAGTAGCCTGTTCTTATGTCGCTATCTGACAGTGAATCGAGTAATATCACCTATCTTATGACAGTAATTCTGCAAGGTAGGTAACACAAGATTAAAGATTAGTAGTGTGCGCTCTGTGGACTGCATTGCATGTAAACATATAAATAATTTTTACCAGATGGAAGACAACTGATGCAATTCTAGGGTGCCTGCTTTAAAGCTTCACTTCTCACAACGAATAAGCTACATAAGTTCTTAGTATATGTGTGGAACTTTGACACCATAGTAGTACACAGTTCCATATTGAGTTTTCAGGGCTTTAACTTAAACTTGTGTACACAAAAAGACAAGAAGACATTGCACTAGTGCTGCACAACCATGGAATATATTGTCCACCTAAGCAATGTCAACATATTTGAAACAATGGGATATTATTATTGGGTAGATTGATAGTCACTCCGTACCACGATAATCAGTGTCCTTCATTTTTTGTGTTGTATGTTTAGAGTTTATGGGTGATAAGTAAGGGAGGCCTTTCCAAATTATCATAGAAAATGGCTTTTTAAGCAGGCATACAAACACCACAAAATTACGGGATTATGAAATATAAAGGATGTATGTTATAGACGTGTCAATCAGGTCTCATAAACCGTTAATGCCCAGCTCTCGCTACGCTCGGGCCCACGCTGCTCTTCGAAGATTTCAGAAACGCTTAGTTATAACGGACGAAAAACCAAAACACCGATCTGCCGTTTGATATTTCTTTATTGTTACACCAACATATAAAAAGAATAAGCGAACTAAGGTCTGAAAACAAATATTACAATAATAAATCACAAGATTACTTCTGACGATGTTTTACTCTTCTTTCTGAACAGCGACCGATGAGACGATGACTGTCGTATTGATGCCTCCGCGAAAATTGGTGAAGTTGATTTTAAGCAAACAACCAAGAATTGATCGCTCAACCTTCAACTCCATTGACACTCCCCGGCAAAATAGGGATCCAGCCCTTTATTCCTTCACGACCAATGCACGTTGACTTGGATGCCATTGCGAGAACCTGGGTCACACGGACAGAGCTGAAATGGAAAACAAACAGAAAAGCCAACACACCACAAGCATACCCTCAGCGCAATCTCACACATCGCTGACGACCTGCGCCTCCAGACAGAGACCTCCTCTTGACATCTTGCAACACAATCGCCACTTGCTAGAATAACTCTTGCAGAATGCAACGTGACCATAGCACCAACTCATGAAACTCTACGCACACCGTCATATCTACTCACCACCAATTACCACTGCAATCGCTTGTCACTCATTCTGCCTCAGTTCTAGTAGCGGTGACGCATGCGAGCCTCGATCGTTTACACTCTTTCTCCCCGGCGTGTCGGACCGCAGCTAACAATTATCTCCGTGTGCGTTTCTTTCTCAGCAATAGCCTAGCCTGCCCGGCGTATACGACCCATCTGCTGTCTCTAACATCAATCAATTCATTCACGGATGTAGAAGACTCGAAACAACTTCAGAAGTAATCACGACGAAAATTTTAACAAAATTACGCAATAAAAACAAGACACGAAAACAACAAGTAAACACAATGAATCCAAAATACACCAATTGATATGACACACCACACGTATATACAAATAGTACAAACAAACTCGCCGATCATGTCTTGGTAGAATTCCTTTGAAGAATTGCAGGACTTACACCAGTACGCCTACAACCCTTCTCAGGTTGACGATTGTAATTTGTGGAATGTACGGGAACAAACAAGATTAACCAACAATTACATCAATTGGAACTCACACAATTATTTAACACAAACATATGTACAATCAACATCAAATGTTGTGTATTCTGGCATGGCAAACTACCCTTGAAGAACTGTAGGACTTACAGCAGTACGCCTACAACCCTTCTCAGGTTGACGCTCTAGGTTGGAAAATCGTCGCAGAGTTCATTTGCTAACTTCCTTCTATCAGCTATATCCTCAAATCTGAACGGCAACACGCTCATGTCATTGTATCGTAGAATATAGATGACCAACAAACACACGACATATCTCATCAACCAAGTATAGAAACAGAGTAATTTACACCAAAGATAATAACATTCAAATAGTAACTTGAAACTAGAAATGCCTTTATTCGTGCAAGTCAATTTAACAATTACTCTCTCGTTTACACTTGGCTTATCCTCACTAAACTGACCATTGATATTCGTCCTTTCAAACGAACTGATACTAGCATAGTCATTGCACAAGATACTTGAGTTGATGGGTGTCTGTTTCATTGTGGATGACAACACCAACGACGACTGATTGATATCAGTTGATGAAGTTAGCGGTGGATCAAAAGCTGTTGTTGCTCGACTTTCAGAAAGTTGTCTACCTGCAAGACCACCACCACTGCTGTCTTTTACTATCAGCTCAGGTTTAGCACTAGCATCTGATGATAGGTGGGCTACACGCTGATCAATCCCACTGACGGTCTCACAAGTATGCACACCTTCTGGAACTGCATCTGCGTTCAATTCTACTTCACGTTGTAGTTGTACAGAACCTTTATTTAACTTAGCAGTAGTAGGCATATCCCTCATCTCATCATGATCAACCAAAGACAACTGTGAAGTATCATGATCATTATCACGAATATTCACTTTACCGTCAAGTTCATCATTTTCAAACTCTTTAATAACAGAAGTAGACAATTTTGGTTCCTCCTCACAAATCATTAAAGGTTTTATAACTTCACTCTGACTAGTAATACCTTGTAAACTTGTGGGGTCAGAACTGCACTCTGAAGCAGTAACTCTATTCTGTGACACTCTATTCAACAATGGCTTACCAGTTGCAACTACAGACTTCTTGACCACACCGTTATCGTCACACAATTCGGAGTCAGACCTGGAGTTTACATTTAGCTTATCACTGAACTTGCTCACTGGTTCACAGTTCACTTCTGTATGCACCTCTTGCACACGTGTAAAACACAACCGTGTTTGTCTTGCATCTTGTAACTTATCTGTTGAGGATGTACTACGAAACCTGTTACACTCACTAGGTCTATATGCATTACTAGACATCATGGAGCCTTCTCGATATCCACCTCTCTGAGGCCCTTTCGTCATCAATGATTTAATTTTACCCTCAGACTGCTCTATTCTAGGGGTGAGATTCAATAGACTGGCGAACTTGCTCATAGATTGATTGACACTAGTATTTACCAGTTTCAGGATATCATCAAACTTTGGCTCGATACCCTCATCCTCCATACGGGAGCTCATCTTCACCCACTTCCTTTGCAGTCGAGTAGGTAGACGTCTTGCTATTACTTCTAGTATAAAACTCGAGTTGAGGTCACTCATGCGATTCATCGAAATCATTCCATTCTTGTAAATTAGCAAATTATCTAAAAACTCAGTGAGTGCCTGGGAGTCATCCTGTAATTGACCACCATTACCCTTAACAGCCTCGAATAATTTCCCTGCAATCATCGAAGGTCTTCCAAACCTTTGACGTAATATGCTCATAGCCTCATCATAGCCCTCTTTTGGCTTCATAAACTTACAACACTGTATAGCTCTTGCAGCATCTCCAGTGCAATATCTCATCAAATACATTAACTTCAATTCATCATTTAATAAAAAACCACTCAACATGATCTCAAACTCCTTTACAAATTGTAAATAATCAGCCGGGTTTCCATCAAAACATCGTGGTTCAAATTTAGGGAGTTTGATGTTCCTATTATCCCTGAACGGCGAAACAGTAACATCAACCATGTCATGCTTAACATCAGACACATCGTTACAATTAACAGACAAGTCACCATGACTTACTTTCCTGTTTGCATCCAAGACACTCTGTCCCTTCTTTGACCCAGGCATTGTTGAACTTGACCCAATTCCAAAAAGTTCCAGATATTGCTTGTTCAAAGAGGACTTGACCGGCACCAGGAAAAATGAACGGCGACTATCCAAACTTTCACCAACTGTTTGAATCCGCCAGATCTGTTTCCATCGTCAGAAACTGTCAGTCACGTCTCATAAACCGTTAATGCCCAGCTCTCGCTACGCTCGGGCTCACGCTGTTCCTTGAAGTTTCTCAGAAACGCTTAGTAATAACGGACGAATAAACCAAAACACCAATTGTTGACTTGAGTATTCTATATTGTTACACCAACATATAAATCAAGTATGACTGAGGTCTGTGAACAAATATTACAATAATAAATCACAAGATTACTTCTGACGATGTTTTACTCTTCTTTCTGAACAGCGACCGATGAGACGATGACTGTCGTATTGATGCCTCCGCGAAAATTGGGGAAGTTGATTTTGAGCAAACAACCAAGAATTGATCGTTCAATCTTCAACTCCATTGACAAAGATATTAACAGAACCAACAAAATTTCAGCATTTGGTTAACAATACTACAGAAGGGTAGTTAGTACTACAGGTAGTCGTGAAGTAAATCAATCTATGTATAATAAGAGCATAATCAGTGTCATAATTCGTATTATCAAAGAATACCTTAGGCTCAATAACTGAGTGTTAAAGGGAAATAAGAGCGGTAAACCAAGAGAACATTTGCCGCATAAGTATTTTAATCATTTTAGGTATTTTAATGACAATCTAATTTCAAGTATTGAACCTACATAATTACTAAGTATTATTATGTTAGTCTGGGAACTAGTGTACTTTCTGTAGTTAAATATTGAAATGCCATTGTCTCTCCACTCTACCAGAAGTTGAGATCTTTGAGGCGGGCTAGGGTGGACGTGTTAATATGTTTTTCTAGGCTCCTTTTGAAACTGTCAGGCCTTTCACAGGATCTTATCTCAGAGGGTAGTTGGTTCCAAAGTTTGCAATATTTAATGGTAAAGAAGTTAGCTCTAGTGGTGAGTTTATGGGTGTTAACCTTGAGAAGGTAGTTGTGGTTGCGTAGTCCATACGATTTAGGATTAGCCCAGGTTATGGACGAGTTACTGTTACAGTGCTTTCTTATAACTTTGAATAAGAGAAATAAATTGCACTTCACTCTCCTTAACCATAAGGGCTCTAAGTCCAGTCGAATACATCTGTCAAGGTATTCTATTTGCTGACCATAGCCTAATATGCGTTTCGTAAGGAATCTAGATCTAAGTGTGGTAAAATTAAATTCACTCTTAATTTATGTCTACATATATACATATATTCATATTTATTTTTCTACAAAAAAATGTTTAGGATACAAGGAAAATATTCGGTCTAATTCGTGGTGAAAATGTTGGTCTTTTGTTAGACAGTTCAGACGCCAATTTAGGATTTAATAGAGATAAACAATTAAAAAAACACTTAATTGAATTAGTAAATGAACAGTTGAATTCAAATAAAATAAAAACGCTGTATGTAGCAAGCTATGGAACACAAATCAATGCCTTATGGCCTTATCCAATGAATGTGAATACACGTGTAATAAACGAGTTGAAATACTTTATCAAAGAACAGTTGATTCCATCCGGTGGATCCAATTTGTTGACTGGTATAAAACATGTGAGGCTTACTTTATTAATTAATGCTGATTTTTCTTGATCAGACGGTCTGTTTGCCATCCTGTTTGTAAAATATGTCGATACGAAAATAAGTAAAATGACAAGCGTATCTTCGGACAAAAATAACTAAACTATTAACCTAAAATAAACAATGTAGCCAATATCTGTATGCTTAATTGTCACTTGATATCACTATAAATTTAAGTAAATTGTCAGCTATGTAAAATCTCCAAGGTGAGTTAAAATTTCAAAGAAAGTGATTGATGTTAAATTACTCATCTATATTTTCGACCTGTAGTCATTTTCTCACCACCAAAATTCATTACAATTAACTGAAAAGTAACCTAGGAAACTGTGATTCTTATTCAGATGAGCGGGTCATCATAACACATTGACATAAATTTGTAGTAACTTTCGGTTTACTTGGAAATACAACTAATCAAATATAGTAGAACTTTGCGCGAATTGTACCAATTGAAGTTACCACACTTTAGAAGAGCGCAGAAGAAAGCAGAACAAGTGAAGGTAATGAAAGCTTGACAAGGGGAGATGTATGGGAAAGAAAATAATTAGATGACCAGTGGAAGTGTTCAGAATCTGTACGATTTCAGAAATTGAACACGTGTGCACGACTGTCAGTAATTTTGAGCGACATCATAAATATTTTTCAACCTCTGGATCCTAAGGAGACATTCTACACTTCCATATAGGCCTCAAACTAACGGTTGACAGCTTCAGCCCTGCGGTATAACTATTTGAAGGTATAATCCAACTCTATCGTACTTCAGCTAACATTGCTTATCAAGAAAGATGGTACGTCACTATGCGTAGCACATGTTCTGCTCAATTCAAATAACGGCACTTTACGGCCTTACCAGCTGATTTTACCTCCTTATCTAACACCTTAGCTTGACGTCATCATTTCGTACTATGTAGCCGTCATTAACCTTTGGTAAGCAACCTCTATTCTTTTCGTATTCTCTCTGTTCGAAATTCGTATCTCACATCAGTAAAGCAGTTTGAAAATGAGGAATTCGAGCAATACACACACGTGAATATAATATAGTAGCTGGAAGGTTATTATATGGAGCATTTTAATACTAATTCATTTTCAGTAGGTTTCATGTTATCGTGAAGCCTTGCTGGAAGAAGTTTACTGGTTAGCCATACAATTGTGGTGCTTAGTTATGCGAATATTATTCATGTGATCATCCATAACACTAGATTTTCTGCCTGAAGACACCGGTGGTTGGAATCTGTCTGTGACAGCACTCAAAATTATTGACAATCACGCAGATCTTTTCGTTCCTTTTAATGTTACAGATTCTAAAACTTCTCACCATTCGATCATTATCTTTTCTATGCATCCACTCTCACTAAACCTTCACTGAATTCGTTCGCTGTGTTTTTTCCGCGCTCTTCCAAATGTGTGCATTCTAAGCTTATGTATTATTATTGTTCCCTTGGGTTCCTAGCGGAACATAGGGCTTCAACTGCACGTCTCCACTTGCCACTTCTGTCTTCCTTCTGCTGTACTTTTCACCTGCATCCATGTTAGTCCATACTCTTTCAACTCCTCTTCACACGATCTACTCCATGTCACCCTCGCACTGACGTCCCACACACCTCTTCTCTTTCGGCCTGGTTCCACTCGAGCAATGGCCTGACGCGCGCGCGATGTCACCAACCGGCCTCCTCGGTGAGTGTCCGATCCATCTCCACTTTCTCCTGGATATCTGTTGGCTGGCGATTGGTTCTTGTTTTGTTTGTTAGTGCCCATAGTTTCTTGTTGGTGATTCTTTCCGGCCCGGCCATCTGATCGTCAGTATAGAGCCAGCGAAGACATTTGTTGATAAAGGTCTGCAACAGGCTGTTGGAAATATTCTTTGTGACCCGCCCGCCGAGTTTCTGATCCGTATAGAAGAACTGACTGACTTGACGTTGTTTGTATTGAAAATCCTTCCGAATTTTGTTGTTGACAGTGGCTGAGTGACGAAGATTTCCAGATTGGTTTCAGGTTGATGAATGTATTTCTCGCCTTCCCGACTCTCGCTCGATTTGACATCCTCGTTCGTTCCGACTTCCTGTAGTTGAGACAATGCTCCCTAGATGATAAGTGAATGAAGTCACTAACCTCTTTCAAATCCCTCCCGTTGATGGTGATTGGCGCTGGATGTTGCTGTTGTTGTTGTTGTTGTTGGTTGGCTGGTTATTTTCATAACCTCCATCAAGTCTATGTTTACCTGGAGTCCTGTCTTCACTGCCTGATTCTTCGACCAGTTTGTCGGTTTTCGGTTGTAAGTCTTCGACTTTTTGTGACATCAAGCATAAATCATCCACGCGCGAAATCCAGGTCTTCTAGGTTCTTCACGTCGGTCCAGGATATCCCTGTCTTCTCGTTTCCCACTGTCTGACGCATAATCCAGTCAGTCAGCCACAATTAGGAATATCATCGGTGATAATAATCGGCCTTGTCTGACTCCTGTGTTTACTCCAAACGCCTTGCTGAGTCTTCCGTTGTGGATCACTTGGCAGGTGCCGTTGTCGTACAGCTGTTGAACAGGGTTGATGAATATTTGGGGTACGCCATAGTACTCGAGTAGTTTCCAAATGACTTCGCGGTCAACGCTGCACTGTCGAAGGTCTTCTCAAAGTCTATAAAGTTGAGGTAGAGGTTTGATTGGCATTCCATGCTTCGTTCTGTGATGATGATGCGTAGAGTTGCAATTTGGTCAGACCAAGATTTGCCCTTCCTGAATCCAGCTTGTTCTGGTTGGAGTTCTGTCTCCAGTGCGTCCTTTATTCTCTCGAGGGTGATGCGACTCAGGATTTGACTTGGCGTCGACAGGAGCATGATTCCTCGCCAGTTCGTGCAGAGTGGGGCGTAAGTTGCTTTTCTTTGGTAATTTCACTAGGTAATCTTTCCTCCAGTCAGTAGCCAGCCTTCCCTCCTTCCAGACCTTTTGCAGTAATGGAGTCAGCATATTCGCTGTAGTCTCTGGGTCCGATTTCAGTGCTTCAGGGGATATTCCGTCTGGTCCAGCTGCTTTCCCAGCTTTCAGAACCTTGATTGCATTCAAGACTCCAGCTCTCGTTGGAGGATTGGTGTCAACTCGCAGTTGTGTACGTGCTGTTGTTGGTATTTTTGGACGCGTTGCAGGTGGTGGTCAGTCCAAGGATCCTTTCAAATGATCCCCCCATTGTTTAATCTGTTTTTCTTCCTTGGTAATTGGGTTCCCTCGGCTGTCTTTTATAGGTTTCACTTGTGTTGTTCTCTTCCCGGATAGAGATTTGGTTATCTGATGTAGTTTCCTCAGGTCTCTTTTGCCTGCTGCCTTCTCAGGTCAGTGGCCAGGTTGTCGTAGAATTGTCTTTTGTCCTTCCTAGCACTCTCCTTCACTTCTTTGTCCAGTACTTTGTACGTTGAGCTCAGCGTCTCCTTCTCTCGTCCGTCTTTGCATTGAATCATTTTCTCTTTCGCCATTCTTCTCTCCTCTATTAGCTTCCAAGTGTCCGTTGAGAGCCATTCCTTGTCTTGTCTCTTCTTTCTTCCTAGAACCGTTGAACACGTTTCGTTGAGAATCGCCTTTAGAGACTTCCAATCTTCTTCCACTCATGATTCTTCAGTGCTGTCGCGTAGTGTTTCCTGCTTTGCTCTGACAGATGCAGTGGATGTGTCCTTTGTGGTTGTGTCTTTTAGTAATTGAGGAGTGTTGAACTTGCATTGTGGCCTGTCCCCAGCTATCCTCGAGGCTTTTTGTTTCACCTTGAAAGTCCCTTGTACTAGATAGTGGTCTGAACCCACATGTGCTCCTCTCCTTGACCTTGTGTCCAGTAGGCTCCGTCTCCACTTTCTTCACATTGAAATGAAGTGTATCCGGATTTGGTGTGTCCATCTGGTGAAATCCATGTCGTCTTGTGTATATCCTTGTGTTTGAACACACTACCACCAATCAGCAAATCATTGAAGGCGCATAAGTCTGAGGACAGTTCATCATTGTCGTTCATTTCACTGAGGGCCTCTCGACTCATGGGCAGTTCTCTTCCTGTGTTGTCTCCTCCCAGCTTCCGTCAATCCAAACTATAGCTTGTAAATTCAAAATCTATTGATTTTTGCGAAATTATGCATAATGGAGTTGATTCTTGGCAAGCTGAGAGAAATCGAAACAATGTCCGATCAAAGGCAAACTGATTTGCTGTCTGCAGTGAAAGTGATATACTTTGGCCTGCTGGAGATGTTGACTTCGAACGTTGCGAAGTGCCCCGTATTTCAGCTGATATTCTCCGTCAAAGAACCATGTTTTCTGATAAAACAACTCTTCTCCGGTGAACGGCATATTTCCTTATCTGCAGGGCGTTGCTGTTTGAGGCATCTGTGCTTCTTCAATACGCAGAGTTTGACGAACTGCAAGGATTCAAAGTACTAGATCGCTGATGGAGGATTAGACGACATGTGAGATTGCTTAAATGTGGACTAAGAAGTTTACCTTGCACTGACCAAACCGAATGCAGACGGCACTGATTTGTGCCCTATCGGAGAAGTATCGTGTTTCGAGTTGAGTAAACGTACTTATCCTGCTGCCTATATTTGTGATGTCAGTTTCACATGTTGTTCGACGTGTGACAGAACCTCAGCAGCATTTTCGAGTGACAAATAAAGTTCAAATATTTGAATTGATATGATGTCATTTCATGTATTTTTTTCATTCACCTTCTCTGTTTACTTGACCACGATAGGAGACAATCATTGAAAAGCTGGTGCAGATAACTGAATACATCGGTATCGAATATAAGACAAAAATAAATCCTCACTGAACATCAGGGGTAAAGTAGTGACTGCGCCGTCGGAACACAACTCACGGAAATTCCATGACATAAGGAAGTTGACATGTTTGATGCGCTCGACAGCGCCAGGTTATTGTAATGACAAGTGAAACTTGGTAGCATCATCATACGTGTCACATTTAATATTATTATTATAAGTGTCATATTTGATACGGAGAACATCTTTAATACAGTTAGATCATGGATCAAACATTA